CCCTAACCCTAACCCTAACCCTAACCCTAACCCTAACCCCTAACCCCCAACCCTAACCCCTAACCATTCCTACAAATTCCAACAACTCCCTACAACTTCCAACAACTTCCAACAAATTCCAACAACTTCCAACAAATTCCTACAACTTCCAACAACTTCCAACAAATTCCTACCAATTCCAACAACTTCCTACAACTTCCTACAATTTCCTACCAATTCCAACAAATTCAAAAAACCTCCTACAGCTTCCAACTTGCAACAAATTCCTACAAATTCCAACAACTTCCAACTTCCTACAATTTCATACCAATTCCAACAAATTCCTACAAATTCCAACAACTTCCTACAACTTCCTACAATTTCCTACCAATTCCAACAACTTCTTACAACTTCCTACAATTTCCTACAAATTCCAACAAATTCGTACAATTTCCTACCAATTCCAACAACTTCCTACAACTTCCTACAACTTCCAACAACTCCCAATGAATTCCAACAACTTCCTACAACTTCCTACAACTTCCTACAACTTCCAACAACTTCCAACAAATTCCTACAAATTCCAACAAATTCCTACAACTTCCTACAATTTCCTACAAATTACAACAAATTCCTACAACTTCCTACAACTTCCAACAACTTCAAATAAATTCCAACAACTTCCTACAAATTCCAACAACTTCCTACAACTTCCAACAACTTCCAACAAATTCCTACAAATTCCAACAACTTCCTACAACTTCCTACAATTTCCTACCAATTCCAACAACTTCCTACGCTTCCTACAATTTCCTACAAATTCCAACAAATTCGTACAACTTCCTACCACTTTTAACAACTTCCTACAAATTCCAACAACTTCCTACAACTTCCAACAACTTCCAACAAATTCCTACAAATTCCAACAACTTCCTACAACTTCCTACAATTTCCTACCAATTCCAACAACTTCCTACAGCTTCCTACAATTTCCTACAATTTCCAACAAATTCGTACAACTTCCTACAACTTGTAACAACTTCCTACAAATTCCAACAACTTCCTACAACTTCCAACAACTTCCAACAAATTCCAACAAATTCCTACAACTTCCTACAATTTCCTACAAATTACAACAAATTCGTACAACTTCCTACAACTTCCAACAACTTCAAATAAATTCCAACAACTTCCTACAAATTCCAACAACTTCCTACAACTTCCATCAACTTCCAACAAATTCCTACAAATTCCAACAACTTCCTACAACTTCCTACAATTTCCTACCAATTCCAAAAACTTCCTACAGCTTCCTACAATTTCCTACTATTTCCAACAACTTCCAACAACTTCCAACAACTTCCTACAACTTCCAACAACTTCCAACAAATTCCTACAAATTCCAACAACTTCCTACAACCTCCTACAATTTCCTACCAATTCCAACAACTTCCTACAACTTCCTACAATTTCCTACAATTTCCAACAAATTCGTACAACTTCCTACAACTTCCAACAACTTCCGAAAACAACCTACAACTTCCTACAACTTCCTACAACAACCCACAACAACCCACAACAACCCACAACAACCCACAACAACCCACAACAACCCACAACAACCCACAACAACCCAGAACTTCCCACAACAACCCACAACAACCCACAACAACCCACGACTTACCACAACAACCCACGACTTCCCACAACAACCCACGACTTCCCACGACTTCCCACGACTTCCCTGGACTTCCCAGGACTTCCCTGGACTTCCCACGACTTCCCTGGACTTCCCACGACTTCCCTGGACTTCCCAGGACTTCCCTGGACTTCCCAGGACTTCCCTGGACTTCCCAGGACTTCCCTGGACTTCCCAGGACTTCCCTGGACTTCCCAGGACTTCCCTGGACTTCCCAGGACTTCCCTGGACTTCCCAGGACTTCCCTGGACTTCCCTGGACTTCCCACGACTTCCCACGACTTCCCTGGACTTCCCTGGACTTCCCACGACTTCCCAGGACTTCCCACGACTTCCCTGGACTTCCCACGACTTCCCTGGACTTCCCACGACTTCCCTGGACTTCCCACGACTTCCCTGGACTTCCCACGACTTCCCTGGACTTCCCACGACTTCCCTGGACTTCCCACGACTTCCCTGGACTTCCCACGACTTCCCTGGACTTCCCACGACTTCCCTGGACTTCCCACGACTTCCCTGGACTTCCCACGACTTCCCTGGACTTCCCACGACTTCCCTGGACTTCCCACGACTTCCCTGGACTTCCCACGACTTCCCTGGACTTCCCACGACTTCCCTGGACTTCCCACGACTTCCCTGGACTTCCCACGACTTCCCTGGACTTCCCACGACTTCCCTGGACTTCCCACGACTTCCCACGACTTCCCTGGACTTCCCTGGACTTCCCACGACTTCCCTGGACTTCCCTGGACTTCCCACGACTTCCCACGACTTCCCACGACTTCCCTGGACTTCCCTGGACTTCCCTGGACTTCCCTGGACTTCCCTGGACTTCCCTGGACTTCCCTGGACTTCCCACGACTTCCCTGGACTTCTTCCCTGGACTTCTTCCCTGGACTTCTTCCCTGGACTTCTTCCCTGGACTTCTTCCCTGGACTTCTTCCCTGGACTTCTTCCCTGGACTTCTTCCCTGGACTTCTTCCCTGGACTTCTTCCCTGGACTTCTTCCCTGGACTTCTTCCCTGGACTTCTTCCCTGGACTTCTTCCCTGGACTTCTTCCCTGGACTTCTTCCCTGGACTTCTTCCCTGGACTTCTTCCCTGGACTTCTTCCCTGGACTTCTTCCCTGGACTTCTTCCCTGGACTTCTTCCCTGGACTTCTTCCCTGGACTTCTTCCCTGGACTTCTTCCCTGGACTTCTTCCCTGGACTTCTTCCCTGGACTTCTTCCCTGGACTTCTTCCCTGGACTTCTTCCCTGGACTTCTTCCCTGGACTTCTTCCCTGGACTTCTTCCCTGGACTTCTTCCCTGGACTTCTTCCCTGGACTTCTTCCCTGGACTTCTTCCCTGGACTGCTTCCCTGGACTGCTTCCCTGGACTGCTTCCCTGGACTGCTTCCCTGGACTGCTTCCCTGGACTGCTTCCCTGGACTGCTTCCCTGGACTGCTTCCCTGGACTGCTTCCCTGGACTGCTTCCCTGGACTGCTTCCCTGGACTGCTTCCCTGGACTGCTTCCCTGGACTGCTTCCCTGGACTGCTTCCCTGGACTGCTTCCCTGGACTGCTTCCCTGGACTGCTTCCCTGGACTGCTTCCCTGGACTGCTTCCCTGGACTGCTTCCCTGGACTGCTTCCCTGGACTGCTTCCCTGGACTGCTTCCCTGGACTGCTTCCCTGGACTGCTTCCCTGGACTGCTTCCCTGGACTGCTTCCCTGGACTGCTTCCCTGGACTGCTTCCCTGGACTGCTTCCCTGGACTGCTTCCCTGGACTGCTTCCCTGGACTGCTTCCCTGGACTGCTTCCCTGGACTGCTTCCCTGGACTGCTTCCCTGGACTGCTTCCCTGGACTGCTTCCCTGGACTGCTTCCCTGGACTGCTTCCCTGGACTGCTTCCCTGGACTGCTTCCCTGGACTGCTTCCCTGGACTGCTTCCCTGGACTGCTTCCCTGGACTGCTTCCCTGGACTGCTTCCCTGGACTGCTTCCCTGGACTGCTTCCCTGGACTGCTTCCCTGGACTGCTTCCCTGGACTGCTTCCCTGGACTGCTTCCCTGGACTGCTTCCCTGGACTGCTTCCCTGGACTGCTTCCCTGGACTGCTTCCCTGGACTGCTTCCCTGGACTGCTTCCCTGGACTGCTTCCCTGGACTGCTTAATTCCCCCTTCTCGTTCGCCCCACCCACCCACCCCATGTCAAGTTCATATTTATATGCCCCTTTTTTACCTGTTCTCAAATCACTGTTTGCCATTTTTTTTCAATAGACACTAGCTTTTATTCTACAACTGCGCATGCTCGGTGACATTGTTAATATTCATTACCTATTTCAATTTCAACTCCCACTTTGATCAACAAGTCCCTATCCTTTCTTACCCTTCTTAGGCTATAACTCGACAATATCCGTCTTGTTAATACTGCGCTATATTCTACCATTTATTGAACAACAGTTTCAAAAGTACACTAGCTTGTCATCTTTCGTCACAATAGCATCAATTGTTGCATTTAAAACAGACTAAGTATTCTTCATCTACTGACAAACATTTTCCTCATAACTCCTTCACAAAACCACCAAACGTGTACTTTCCATTTCCAAGCACAATAATGAGCATTTGCGTAAACATTACACAAGCAGAGTATCATCCAGCCATTATCTTTGTTTGGCCAAAATAGTGTACCAAATGCAATTGATGACAAAATATGGTACCGAGAAAAAACGTGCACTTTTGTATACGTGTGAGTTTAGTGTCAACCACAACTTGCACGTATACAAAAGTGCAACTGTTTTCGGTATCATTTGTCAGAAATTGCATGAATTCGTACACATCATCACTCTTTTGGGCATAAGAAAGTATGGCTGGAATGATCAGGAATGTCTGTACTGATTAGTCGTTAGTTGAGCGAGAGGTGCTCAGTAGTTTTTGAGTTAAAAAAGGATTGAAAGGCGGGGACTTTCTAGTTACATTTACAGTTCTGATGGAGAGAAAACAAATTATCAGGGAAGATTGGGCTTGGAAGAGTGACTGTCCTCGCAACAAAATCTTAACAAAGTACTGTATTTCAACCAAAGTGTTGCCCGTTGGGAAGTTTTTAAGAAGCTAAAGCAGTTTCATCCCCTCCCGCCAAAATAATTAATGGAACAACACATAATTCATTACGCTAGATATTATTTTTGGCACTCTACCCAAACAAGCCAAAATTCTCAACGCTTTAAGGAAGTCACAGTCCAGAAAATAATCATTTCCAGACTTCAAAACGTCTCAGGTCAGTTATTATAGCCATGATCAGTGAATGGTAGGAATTTGTATTGTGATGCTTTCGTGGGTGCTTTGTGTTAGGATCCATATAAATACGCTCCAATTTTCGAACCAGTCATCCGCTTGAAAACAGCAACAGCGGCGCCGGGTGCCTTCAGTTCACAGCTATTGCAGCGCTACTCTCGTCATGTTGACTACGACTTCCTGTGCTAAAGGGCGAACCTGTTGTAAAGACCGTAAGTTCCCTCTTGCACTTTGGGACTCTTTTGTTTGTCATTAACTCGGTGACAAAAAGTTAACATTTTGTGATTATGACGGAATTATTTTTCTTCTATTTCGAGCTCAATGGTTATGACCTTAATTGGGCATGTCAGGGTCGGCATTGACGATTACATTTGATGGTGGTAACATAGACTAGTTTTTATTCTCGCAATGTTTTTTGTTTGCCACGGTTTCCTTAAATATATTACAATCTTTTTATGTTATGATATTATGATCCAATATTGGAATGTGTTTTCTTCATTCATTGTCTCCCATTAAAAGTGACTTTCATTCGAATCGGAATTTTAATCAATACACTTTTTTGCACATACACCTCCTGGATTGTCCTAGATCATTTGCAACACCAGTGGTGACGTGTCAGGGTGCACACCTGTTAATAGGCCTAAACCCATCCGCCGAGCTCATGAAAAGCAGTTATACCCTCAAAATATTCTATATTAGAGAGTTCTGAGGGCCGTAAAATTGGGGAATTAAAAAAGATATGGCAATGAACCACTGGCCCAGACTTGGGACTTCCAATTCTGAGCACTTTGGATGCAATGGAGCTCGAAAGTGGCGCTATTTTTTTCATGATGTAGAAGGATCGTTTTTCAAGATGGCTACTTTTTTCCGCTTTGGGAAAAATAGGGGTCGTCTTCTTTGGGTAAGAATTTCACGAAAAGACAGTAACGGGTCAACCCACCAAAAATTGAAAAGAAAAGAAAACTGAGATGACATTTCGATCACCATTTCTGTGTGCAGCTTAAATACATGTGAGAGTTCTGAGTATTTTTAAAAGAGTTTAGAAGTATGGGCATTTAGCACTAGTGTCTATGGGAATTTTAATACACTGTTGCACCCGTAGGGACACTCCGTATTTTCTCGTCATGTCAACACAGTTATTGTGAAATTGGGAACTCAAGATATACACATTGTATTGCAATGACATTTCCTGTAATATTTTGCCATGGTATTTGACACCAAACTCTAGAATCTTGACAGGAACTGCCGAAAAATGAATGTAATATAATACATCGTGAAAACTAATTGCACCAAATTTCAATTTAATCCATTTTGTATTTCTTGAGTGGTTCATCGGAAACGAGGTTGTTCATTTTGTTCAGTTGTGCAGCATCTGTGTTGATGCGTTGTTGAGACCACTATTTATGTGGCGCGCCCTCTATTATAGTGGTCTCGATCTCCACAACCAAACTCGAGTTGGGGCCAACAATTCAAGAAATACACATTACATTAAACTGAATTTTCGCACACTCATTTTGCATGATGTTTCACATCAAAACATTTAATTTCATAAAAAAAACGTCCAATAATCAAGATATTATGACCGTAACAATGCTGGGTTTTATTTGCGACAAGTACAATCATAATGCAAGTCAACATGGATTTTTAACGTTTAAAACACTAGATTGTTACGATCATATTATATTCATAGCTCCACGGTTTCTCACGCCATTCAAACAACTTATGCTACGCATCGTGAAAACTAATTGCACCAAATTTCAGTTTAATCCATTTTGTATTTCTTGAGTAGTTCATCGGAAACGAGGTTGTTCTTTTTGTTCAGTTGTGAAGCATCTGTGTTGATGCGTTGTTGAGACCACTATTTATGTGGCGCGCCCTCTATTATAGTGGTCTCGATCTCCACAACCAAACTCGAGTTGGGGCCAACAATTCAAGAAATACACGTTATATTAAACTGAATTTTCGCACACTCATTTTTCATGATGTTTGACATCAAAAGATTTAATTTCATAAAAAAAGTCCAATAATCAAGATATTATGACCGTAACACTGTTGGGTTTTATTTGCGACAAGTACAATCCTAATGCAAGTCAACATGGATTTTTAACGTTTAAAACACTAGATTGTTACGATCATATTATATTCATAGCTCCACGGTTTCTCACGCCATTCAAACTACTTATGCTACACATCGTGAAAACTAATTGCACCAAATTTCAATTGAATCCATTTTGTTTTTCTTGAGTAGTTCATCGGAAACGAGGTTGTGCTTTTTGTTCAGTTGTGCAGCATCTGTGTTGATGCGTTGTTGAGACCACTATTTATGTGGCGCGCCCTCTATTATAGTGGTCTCGATCTCCACAACCAAACTCGAGTTGGGGCCAACAATTCAAGAAATACACGTTACATTAAACTGAATTTTCGCACACTCATTTTTCATGATGTTTGACATCAAAAGATTTAATTTCATAAAAAAAGTCCAATAATCAAGATATTATGACCGTAACACTGCTGAGTTTTCTTTGCGACAAGTACAATCCTAATGCAAGTCAACATGGATTTTTAACGTTTAAAACACTAGATTGTTACGATCATATTATATTTATAGCTCCACGGTTTCTCACGCCATTCAAACTACTTATGCTACACATCGTGAAAACTAATTGCACCAAATTTCAGTTTAATCCATTTTGTATTTCTTGAGTAGTTCATCGGAAACGAGGTTGTTCTTTTTGTTCAGTTGTGTAGCATTTGTGTTGATGCGTTGTTGAGACCACTATTTATGTGGCGCGCCCTCTATTATAGTGGTCTCGATCTCCACAACCAAACTCGAGTTGGGGCCAACAATTCAAGAAATACACATTACATTAAACTGAATTTTCGCACACTCATTTTTCATGATGTTTGACATCACAAGATTTAATTTCATAAAAAAATCGTCCAATAATCAAGATATTATGACCGTAACACTGCTGGGTTTTATTTGCGACAAGTACAATCCTAATGCAAGTCAACATGGATTTTAAACGTTTAAAACACTTGATTGTTACGATCATATTATATTTATAGCTCCACGGTTTCTCACGCCATTCAAACAACTTATGCTACACATCGTGAAAACTAATTGCACCAAATTTCATTTTAATCCATTTTGTATTTCTTGAGTAGTTCATCGGAAACGAGGTTGTTCTTTTTGTTCAGTTGTGCAGCATTTGTGTTGATGCGTTGTTGAGACCACTATTTATGTGGCGCGCCCTCTATTATAGTGGTCTCGATCTCCACAACTAAACTCGAGTTGGGGCCAACAATTCAAGAAATACACATAACATTAAACTGAATTTTCGCACACTCATTTTTCATGATGTTTGACATCACAAGATTTAATTTCATAAAAAAATCGTCCAATAATCAAGATATTTTGACCGTAACACTGCTGGGTTTTATTTGCGACAAGTACAATCCTAATGCAAGTCAACATGGATTTTAAACGTTTAAAACACTTGATTGTTACGATCATATTATATTTATAGCTCCACGGTTTCTCACGCCATTCAAACTACTCATGCTACACATTGTGAAAACTAATTGCACCAAATTTCAATTTAATCCATTTTGTATTTCTTGAGTAGTTCATCGGAAACGAGGTTGTTCTTTTTGTTCAGTTGTGCAGCATCTGTGTTGATGCGTTGTTGAGACCACTATTTATGTGGCGCGCCCTCTATTATAGTGGTCTCGATCTCCACAACCAAACTCAAGTTGGGGCCAACAATTCAAGAAATACACATTACATTAAACTGGATTTTCGCACACTCATTTTGCATGATGTTTGACATCAAAAGATTTAATTTCATTAAAAAAACGTCAAATAATCAAGATATTATGACCGTAACACTGTTGGGTTATATTTGCGACAAGTACAATCCTAATGCAAGTCAACATGGATTTTAAACGTTTAAAACACTTGATTGTTACGATCATATTATATTTATAGCTCCCCGGTTTCTCACGCCATTCAAACTACTCATGCTACACATCGTGAAAACTAATTGCACCAAATTTCAATTTAATCCATATTGTATTTCTTGAGCTAGTAGTTCATCGGAAACGAGGTTGTTCTTTTTGTTCAGTTGTGCAGCATCTGTGTTGATGCGTTGTTGAGACCACTATTTATGTGGCGCGCCCTCTCATTATAGTGGTCTCAATCTCCACCACTAAACTAGATTGGGGGCAAATAATTCAAGAAATACACGTTACATTAAACTGAATTTTTGCACCCTCATTTGTCATGATGTTTGACATCAAAAGATTTAATTTCATTAAAAAAAACGTCAAATAATCAAGAAATGATGACCGTAACAATACAGGGTTTTATTTGCGACAAGTACAATCCTAATGGAAGTCAACATGGATTTTTAACGTTTCAAACACTAGATTGTTACGATCATATTATATTTATAGCACCACGGTTTCTCACGCCATTCAAACTACTTATGCTACACATCGTGAAAACTAATTGCACCAAATTTCAATTGAATCCATTTTGTTTTTCTTGAGTAGTTCATCGGAAACGAGGTTGTGCTTTTTGTTCAGTTGTGCAGCATCTGTGTTGATGCGTTGTTGAGACCACTATTTATGTGGCTCGCCCTCTATTATAGTGGTCTCGATCTCCACAACCAAACTCGAGTTGGGGCCAACAATTCAAGAAATACACGTTACATTAAACTGAATTTTCGCACACTCATTTGTCATGATGTTTGACATCAAAAGATTTAATTTCATAAAAAAACGTCCAATAATCAAGATATTATGACCGTAACACTGCTGAGTTTTCTTTGCGACAAGTACAATCCTAATGGAAGTCAACATGGATTTTTAACGTTTCAAACACTAGATTGTTACGATCATATTATATTTATAGCTCCACGGTTTCTCACGCCATTCAAACAACTTATGCTACACATCGTGAAAACTAATTGCACCAAATTTCAGTTTAATCCATTTTGTATTTCTTGAGTAGTTCATCGGAAACGAGGTTGTTCTTTTTGTTCAGTTGTGCAGCATTTGTGTTGATGCGTTGTTGAGACCACTATTTATGTGGCGCGCCCTCTATTATAGTGGTCTCGATCTCCACAACCAATCTCGAGTTGGGGCCAACAATTCAAGAAATACACATTACATTAAACTGAATTTTCGCACACTCATTTTTCATGATGTTTGACATCACAAGATTTAATTTCATAAAAAAATCGTCCAATAATCAAGATATTATGACCGTAACACTGCTGGGTTTTATTTGCGACAAGTACAATCCTAATGCAAGTCAACATGGATTTTAAACGTTTAAAACACTTGATTGTTACGATCATATTATATTTATAGCCCCACGGTTTCTCACACCATTCAAACTACTCATGCTTCACATCGTGAAAACTAATTGCACCAAATTTCAATTTAATCCATTTTGTATTTCTTGAGTAGTTCATCGGAAACGAGGTTGTTCTTTTTGTTCAGTTGTGCAGCATCTGTGTTGATGCGTTGTTGAGACCACTATTTATGTGGCGCGCCCTCTATTATAGTGGTCTCGATCTCCACAACCGAACTCGAGTTGGGGCCAACAATTCAAGAAATACACATTACATTAAACTGGATTTTCGCACACTCATTTTGCATGATGTTTGACATCAAAAGATTTAATTTCATTAAAAAAACGTCAAATAGTCAAGATATTATGACCGTAACACTGTTGGGTTTTATTTGCGACAAGTACAATCCTAATGCAAGTCAACATGGATTTTAAACGTTTAAAACACTTGATTGTTACGATCATATTATATTTATAGCTCCCCGGTTTCTCACGCCATTCAAACTACTCATGCTACACATCGTGAAAACTAATTGCACCAAATTTCAATTTAATCCATATTGTATTTCTTGAGCTAGTAGTTCATCGGAAACGAGGTTGTTCTTTTTGTTCAGTTGTGCAGCATCTGTGTTGATGCGTTGTTGAGACCACTATTTATGTGGCGCGCCCTCTCATTATAGTGGTCTCAATCTCCACCACTAAACTAGATTGGGGGCAAATAATTCAAGAAATACACGTTACATTAAACTGAATTTTTGCACCCTCATTTGTCATGATGTTTGACATCAAAAGATTTAATTTCATTAAAAAAAACGTCAAATAATCAAGAAATGATGACCGTAACAATACAGGGTTTTATTTGCGACAAGTACAATCCTAATGGAAGTCAACATGGATTTTTAACGTTTCAAACACTAGATTGTTACGATCATATTATATTTATAGCACCACGGTTTCTCACGCCATTCAAACTACTTATGCTACACATCGTGAAAACTAATTTCACCAAATTTCAATTTAATCCATTTTGTATTTCTTGAGTAGTTCATCGGAAACGAGGTTGTTCTTTTTGTTCAGTTGTGCAGCATCTGTGTTGATGCGTTGTTGAGACCACTATTTATGTGGCGCGCCCTCTAATATAGTGGACTCGATCTCCACCATCAAACTCGATTTGGGGCCAACAACGCTTGAAATACACTTTGCATTAAACTAAATTTTCGCACACTCATTTGTCATGATGTTTGACATCAAAAGATTTAATTTCAGGCTGCGGCAAATCCAATATATTGGTTAATGATGTTTTGATTGTACATGTATTCGTGTCTGAGTGTAATACAGGGTTTTATTTGCAACAAGTACAATCCTAATAGAAGTCAACATGGATTTTTTACGTTTAAAACACTAGATTGTTACGATCATATTATATTTATAGCTCCACGGTTTCTCACGCCATTCAAACTACTTATGCTACACATCGTGAAAACTAATTGCACCAAATTTCAATTTAATCCATTTTGTATTTCTTGAGTAGTTCATCGGAAACGAGGTTGTTCTTTGTTTTTCAGTTGTGCAGCATCTGTGTTGATGCGTTGTTGAGACCTCTATTTATGTGGCGCGCCCTCTCATTATAGTGGTCTCGATCTCCACCACCAAACTTGATTGGGGGCCAACAATTCAAGAAATACACGTTACATTAAACTGAATTTTCGCACACTCATTTTACATAATGTTTGACATCAAAAGATTTAATTTCATAAAAAAAACGTCAAATAATCAAGATATTATGATCGTAACAATACAGGGTTTTATTTGCGACAAGTACAATCCTAATGGAAGTCAACATGGATTTTTAACGTTTAAAACACTAGACTGTTGCGATCATTACTATATTTATAGCTCCACGGTTTCTCACGCCATTCAAACTACTTATGCTACACATCGTGAAAACTAATTGCACCAAATGTTAATTTAATCCATTTTGTATTTCTTGAGTAGTTCATCGGAAACGAGGTTGTTCTTTTTGTTCAGTTGTGCAGCATCTGTGTTGATGCTTTGTTGAGACCACTATTTATGTGGCGCGCCCTCTATTATAATGGTCTCGATCTCCACCACCAAACTCGAGTTTGGGGCCAACAACTCAAGATATACACGTTAAATTAAACTGAATTTTCGCACACTCATTTTACATAATGTTTGACATCAAAAGATTTAATTTCATAAAAAAAACGTCAAATAATCAAGATATTATGATCGTAACAATACAGGGTTTTATTTGCGACAAGTACAATCCTAATGGATGTCAACATGGATTTGTAACGTTTAAAACACTGGATTGTTACGATCATATTATATTTATAGCTCCACTGTGTTGATGCGTTGTTGAGACCACTATTTATGTGGCGCGCCCTCTATTATAGTGGTCTTGATCTCCACCACCAAACTCGATTTGGGGCCAACAACTCAAGATATACACGTTACATTAAACTGAATTTTCGCACACTCACTTGTCATGATGTTTGACATCAAAAGATTTAATGTCATTAAAAAACGTCAAAATAATCAAGATATTATGACCGTAACAATATAGGGTTTTATTTGCGACAAGTACAATCCTAATGGAAGTCAACATGAATTTTTAACGTTTAAAACATTAGATTGTTACGATCATATTATATTTATAGCTCCACGGTTTCTCACGCCATTCAAACTACATATGCTACACATCGTGAAAACTAATTGCACCAAATTTCAATTTAATCCATTTTGTATTTCTTGAGTAGTTCATCGGAAACGAGGTTGTTCTTTTTGTTCAGTTGTGCAGCATCCGTAACAATATGATCCTCCGAATTCATTTATTCTTGAAAATTGTAGCAAAAGCAAAGGTTGTATAATTTCCTTTAACCCTAAAGGGTCGGGTTAGTTTGACCACCTCTCAGCCGGGGGTTTGGTGGATTCCTCCCCCCCCCCCCCCCGCCCTAAAAACTCGACCTTCGAACGACGAAAAATTGTAAAACAACTTATCATAAACATACCCAAGAAATTTCATAACTATTGGTCAAAGGGTTTTTGGATTGATGGGTAATTAATTATTCATATGCACAAATGGTAATTTTGCTCTGTGTACACGACGAATATGGGGAAATTCAGTTTTTAAGGCGAGTAGCGCCGGACGGCAACCCGTGGTCCGAGTTTTATGTTTTTGGTATCAAAAGATGCGCAAGGCTCGGGGCTAAAAAGTCATAACAGTTCGTTTGGCGGAAAGAAATTCAAGGCTATCGCAGAAACAGTCGAGGCGGCGGATTCCGCCCCGGCCCCTTTAGGGTTAAACAAAGAAGAATTCTAAGGTGGGGACTTTCTTTTTAGTCGAATGTAGTTACTTTTACAGGTCTGTTGGGGAGACTAAATAAATGATCAGGGAAGATTGGGCTTGAAGAGTGACTGTCCTAACAAAATCCTAACAAAGTACTGCATTTCAACCAAAATATTACCCGTTGGGAAGTGTTTATAAAGTTAAAGCAGTTTCGCCAAAAAAATTAATGGAACAGTACAGAATTAATTACCCAAGATATTATTTTTGGCACTCTAACCAAACAAACCAAATTTCTCAACGCTTTAAGGGTATTACAGTCGAGAAAATAAATCCTTTTCAGACTTCAAAACGTCGAAGGTTAGTTACAGGCATGGTCAGTGAATGGTAGGAATTTGCATTGTAATGCTCTAGTGGGGGCTTTGTGTTTAGAATCTATACAAATACACTCATTACCGAACCTGTCATCTGCTTGACAACAACAACAGAAACGCCACGTGCCTTCAGTTCACAGCTATTGCAGTGTCACCCTCGTCGTGTTGACTAAGACTTCCTTTGCTAAAGGGCGAACCTGTTGTACAGACCGTAAGTTCCTTCTTGTAATTTTGGACTCTTTCGTTTGTCATAACTCGGGGACATAAAATAACAGTTCACATTTTGTGATTATGACTGAGAATTGTTTTTCTTCTATTTCGAGCTCAATTGTTATGATCATAAATGGGCATGTCAGGGTCGGCATTGACGATTACATTGATGGTGGGAACATAGTCTAGTTTTTATTGTCGCAATGTTTTTGGTTTACCACGGTATCTGTAAATTTGTTACAATCTTTTTATGTTATAATATCATGATCAAATATTGGAATGTGTTTTCTTCATTCATTTTCTGCAATTAAAAGTGACTTTCCTTTGAATCGGACTTTTCGCAATTAATACACTATTTTGCACACCTCCTGGATTGTCCTAGATCATTTGCAACGACACCAGTGGTGATTCTGCATTCCTTCAGAAGCTTTAAGCCAGCATGGGCTTCAGCTTGGTGTCCAGCGCTGCATGGACATTTGGGGACGCCAAGTCAACTGTAGCAAATTCTGAAAGTGAGTATTATTTTGGATGGCGTTTAAATGTTACCTTCTCGTATATACAAAACTGAAGAAAATCGCTCAAAAAGTTAATTCCTCGTGTACATCATCTACAATTTTAGTTTGAATCCATAGGAAAACAACATAATTATTATGGATCTAAAGTGGGACCTTTTTACACTTAGTAGTGCACCCTCTGTTGGAAGAAATAGATGACAGCAAAAAACGGAGTTTGCTTACACGTTGTAGTTTTTATTGTGGCATTTTTTTTTTTTTAAGGTTCCTGTCATTTTTTTTCTTCAAAACTGTTTTGTTATACATCATGAATAATTATTATGCGAAATTTCAATTCAATTCAACGCGCTTTCCTTTAGGTATCGGAACCATTAACAAAGAGTGGATATTTTTTGTTCGAGATTTCAGTCGATTTTTTTTCTTCAAATCTTTACATTGCGACTAAATATTCAACAAAATTTCCTTCAAAAGTAATTCCAATTAACAAAGTTTTTTTCACGATAAAAATACTGCTTTCTTCAATCATATAATTTTCAATCATGTTGCGTCACATATCACGGCCAGTAATGCGACGCAATTTTAATCATATGGGATGCGTTATTCTGCAATATTATCTCCACAGAGAGTGTGGTATTTTTGTCAAATGGGTACATCGTGACACACATTGACGGACGTCTTCGTTTTTTGCAAGAAATTGAAGGAAGCAATCATGGTGTACGTATACAGGGTGTTTCCAAAAAAGGAAACCCAATTTCAAAGAATGAGTATGGACTTACGATATGTTTACTGGCTATAAAACTGGTATCATCTGAAAGCGTAATCTCTATGCTTTTCAATGATACCGTGTTTAGGTTTTCTGAGTCATGCATCACTGAGCATCATTGTCTTGAAAACTGAATGCAAAAATGCACTTGGTTCACTTTCATAAAAAAAAACACCACTGGGTACGGTGTGCCCATTGTTACGGAAATGTCTTTGAAATGGCTTGAATGTCAATTCTCGGGAAAATGGCAGATTGTTTTGAACGTGGCTTGGTCAAAACGAGAATTAATGACAAACAAAATCCAGTTTTGAAACCAACCCGACTTGTTTTTTTATTTCTTTTGATGCACCCGTGTTATCTTCTTGAATACTTATTCCCATGCACACCATGCCTATTGTGTTTGACATGAAAGTGAACCAACTGCAATTTTGCATCCAGTTTTGAAGATAATGATGCTCAGTGATGCAAGGCCCTGGAAATGTAAACAAGGTATCATTGAAAAGCATAGAGATTACGCTTTTATATGAAAGCGGTTTCACAGCCAGTAAACATTTAGTCTGTCCATACTTGTTCTTCAAAGTTGGGTTTCCTTTTGATTGAAACACCCTGTATAGCGTCGACACTTTTTGCTTTATTGTCGTGTATTTTTTTCCGACGAGGTTTCCGTCCAGGTATTTTTTATGTCATTACGTGACGACTAATTATCGACTGATATGTTCAAATATCTACTATTCTGGAGTAATTGTATCCATAGGTAGCATGTTACTTTCATTCAATTATTATAAAGTAACTTTAATTCCCAATTAATTGTTTTTTGCGATTAAAACACTAAATTGTCATTAAATGACATTACATTATTTTATTCTTCTTCTTTTCCTGTCAAGTTTCTTACTTTCTGTGTCAAAAAAGCGATGAGCTATTTTGCAATAATTGTCTCTAGAAAGAGTGATTTATTTTTGTTCAATAAAAAGTGACTTTCGTTATGAATTTTTCATGATTTTTATAAATCATATTAAATTTATTCCGCAATGGCTTTCATCAATTTTCAAACTTGTGTAAAATATAATGGACAATAATAGGACGCAATTTTCATTAAATGCGATGTGTTCTGCAGTCATTATGTCTTAAAAAACATGTTTTATTGTTCGCAGATTGTCATCTGCATTATACAAAAATCTTAAAGGTGCTGACCAGTGTTTGTGTAGGACGCCCTCTTTTGGAAGAAATCGACGGTAGCAAAAGCTACGTACGGAGCGTCCAAACAATTGTTTTATTGTCTTTTATTGTTTCTTCCCAGGTTTCCGTCGGGGTTTTTGTGTGTGTCAGTACATCATGACTAATTATTGTCAAGTTTTCATATCAATACAATTTATTTGGGTGGGGGATTATTGTCTCTATAAATAGTGTTTTACGTTTTTCAATTCAATGTGACTTAAATTTGCAATCAATTTTTGGGGGGTTTGAATTTTTCCACGGTTCTTGTCAATTTAAGTTGCTTAGTGGGTTTGAGGATTCATTGTGGCTTATTACAAAAGAAATTGACGGCTGATCCCATTCCCAGTAGTTAAGTCAACTTTACTGTAACATAAACAACAACCTTGATTTACAGACAATAACTCAAGATATATCCGTTACATTAAATTGATATTTCACACGCTTATTAAACATGATTTGTGACCCCTTTCTGTTGAATTTGAACATTTTGAAGAAGAATCGTCGAATAGTTAAATAATAAAACATTGCAATGTACTGTATTAAGCGCGTAAAATACCAGGCGATTCTGGAATGCAGATTATAAAGCACGTAAAATACCAAGCGAATTCAAGTGAACTTTACTATAACAAAACAACATACATGTACTTGGTTTCCAGACAAAAACTCAAGAAATACATTTTGCAATGAATTGCAATTTCGTATATTGATAAAACGTGATATCTAATACAATTCTGTTGAAATTGTAGACAAATTGTCATAAAAAAAACCATTATAAACAAAGCAATGTGGTGAAATAAGCGGGTAAAAATACCAGTCGATTTTCGGTAAACTTTACTATTTCCAGACAATGAATCAAGAAGTATTCGTCGCATTAAATTGACATATCACACGCTTAATAAACATGATATGTGACTCCTTTCTGTTGAATTTGAAGAGGAATCGATCAACAGTTAAAATAATATCAAACAGAGCAATGTAGGATTGCTAAGCGCGTAAACTACCAGGCGATTTGAAGTCAACTTTTCTGTAACATTAACAACCAACTTGATTTCCAGACAATAACTCAAGATTTATCCCGTACCTTAAAATGACATTGAATCCACTTATTAAACATGATATACGACCCCTTACTGTTGAATTTCAAGAATAATCGTCAAATAGTTAAAATAATATTAACCAGTGACGCACCCAGGATTTGGTTTTAGGGCGGGGGGGGGGCTCAAAATATGTCTATTTACAAAATACAGTTTTGTTTGTTTTTGTTTTCAAAAATTTTGCCCAAATTTTTTGGCCGCATAAAAAAATGGTGTTTTTTTTTAGGGGCGGCCTATTTTGACGTTAGTGGCGCCACTTACACCCCTATTAAACTACTCGAAAACAGACCACATTAATAATCTCCAAGGCCAAAATCGTGGGACTAAAGAGTTCTGAGTATTTTAAAAAGATTTAATAACAATTATTTCTTTTCAAAGAGCGGGCGCGCTACACAAATACTGCTCACCACGCTCCGACGTCTGGCCATTCGAGATGTAAACACAGTTATTGTGCAAAAAGGGAACTCAAGATGAACACATTGTATTGCATTGAAATTTCATGTAATGTTTTGCAATGGTATTTGACACGAAAATCTAGAAAATTGACACGAACCTCCGAAGGTGGAATGTAATATAAGTAAAGGAAATTGCAGTATGAAGGACACTTCGTATTTTATCCTCATGCAAGAATTTCGAACAAAAGAGGGCGCGCTACACAAACACTGCTCACCGCGTTCCGACAAAATAATTTGGTTTACAAATTTGTTAGGGCCGGCCTATTTTGACAACAGCCAATCGTGGGACTAACAACAAAAATGACAACCTCTTGGGGGGGGGGGGGCTCAAAAGGAAATTGCAGTATGAAGGACACTCTGTATTTTCTCGTCATGTCAACACAGTTATTGTGAAATTGGGAACTCGAGATAAAAACATTGTATTGCAATGACATTTCCTGTATTATTTTGTCATGGTATTTGACACGAAACTCTAGAAACTTAATGTAAGAAGAATAATGTAATACAATTTAAGGGAATTGCAGTACGAAGAACACTCCGTATGTTATCGTCATGCAACAATTTCTTACAAAAGAGGGTGCTGCACAAACACTGCTCACCGCACTCCGACGTCTTAAGTTGCCACCGACGTCTTACTGTAAAAGCAAGTAAATATATACTAAATAAATTTTACTGCAGGAATACGGAACGCTTTTTTTGCTGGCAGCAAAATTTCCGGAAAAGTTTTTTCGTTTCGTAAAATAAACAGACCATTAACATGAGTTTGGACATGTGTACACGGTACACTTGGATTACTATAATGTGTAGGTGTTTGGGCCGATGTGGTTGATTGTAATCATGCTAATAAGCATAATTAATATCTGCAATTACGCAAAGTCCGTAAAATTACGGCGAAATTTACGGACATGAAGAAGAATAGTCAAACAGTTATGAATAAAGCAGTGTAGATTGTAAAGCGCGTAAAATACTAGGCGAATTTAAGTCAACTTTACTATTGCAGAACAACATACTTGATTTGCAGACAAAACCTCAAGAAATACCTTTTGCACTTAATTACAATTTCGTTAATTACAATTAAACGTGATATTTGATACAAGTTTGTTGAATTTGTAGACGAATCGTTATAAATGAAAAAATAATAAACAACACAATTTAGTGTAGTGCGCGCGCAAAATACCAGGTGATTGTTGGTAAACTTTACTATAACAACAACAACACACTTAGTTTCCAGACAATAAATCAAGAAACATTCGTCGCATCAAATTGACATATCATTCGCTTGTTAAACATGATATTTGACCTCATTCTGTTGAATTTGAAGGAATATCATCCAACACTTTAAATAATATAAACAAAGAAATCATGGGCGTCGCCAGGATTTTTTCTAGAGGGGGGCAAAACAATCTTTTTTGCCAAACAATGTTTGTATTTCTCAACACAATCTCGATTTGTCAGTTTTAGAGGGGGACAGGGACATTTTGCCCCCCCCCCAACTCATTAAATTTACACCACTTTGTCTTCGTGCCTCTTTTTCACTTTTTTTTTTTTCTTTTTTCTTTTTTGCTTTTCCAGGGGGTGGGAGCAAGTGCCCCCCTTGCCCCCCCCCCCCCCCTCGCGACGCCTATGAAAGAAATGTTGGATTGTAAAACGTGTAAAATACCAGCCGATTTGAAAACAACTATACTGTAATGAAAACAACACACTTGGCTTCCAGGCAATAACTCAAACAATTACTTTTTGCATTGAATTGCAGGTTTTTTTATGTTGATAAAACGTGATATATAAAACAAGTCTGTTAATTTGTAGATGAATCCTCAAACAATAAAAAGAAAAATAATAAACAAATCAATGTTGTGTATTAAGAGCGTAAAATACTAGGCGATTTTAAGTCAACTTTACTATAACAAAAACAACACAATTGGTTTCCAAACAATAACTCAAGAAATATTTGTTGAATGAAAGTGAAATTCCATACGCTCATTAAAGATGATAAGTGACCCCTCTCTGTCTAATTTAAACAAGAATTGTCAAACAAACAAAACTAATGTAAACAAAGCAATTTAGTGTATTAAATGCGTAAAATACCAGGCACTTTTAAGTCAACTTTCCCAGAATAAAACCACACACTCGGTTTCCAGACAATAACTCAAAAAATATTTGTTGCATTAAATTGACATTTCATACACTTTCTAAACATTGTATGTGACCGATTTCTGTTGAATTTAAAGAAGAATCGTCAAACAATAAAAAAAATAATGTAGACAAAGCAATGTAGATTGTAATAGCGCTTAAAATACCAGGTGAATTGAAGTCAACTTTCCCAGAACATAAACAACACACTTTCCGGACAATAACTCAAGAAATTTAGTGTGTTTGTTCAATATGATAATATGACATAACTCTCTTTAATTTGAAGAAAAATCGTCAAACAATAACATTTATTTAAACAAAGCAACGTAGTGTGCTCAAATGGCGTAAAACACCATGCGATTTTAAGTGGACAACACACACGGATCCAGACACTAACTCTTAGAAATACATTATTTAACACGATATGTGACACAATTATCACGTGTAAATATCACTCTATGGGGCCGATTGAAAGGTCTGAAGCCATCGAAATTCAAAATGGCGGCGCGCCCTGTGCATGCGGTTTTTTATATGTCGCGACAGTGTGTTTTTTTTTTCAAAATGAAAACATTTTTGTTTTTGTTTTTATGTGACGTCGCAATTAAGGCAGGCAGGCACTGAGTACACCACCATCTTTTCCTCCTAAAACGTTGGCGTTGGCTAAAGTGGTCAGAAATTCCCTCAGATCGCACCAAAGAGCATCTAGAATCCAAAAGTTTTTCGGGGGCCTTAAAGGGAATGTACATCATTGGCTTTTGCTGTTATTTTTTTAAAAATGAACTATTTGAGGGGTTAGTATAATAGATCAAATATTGTTACACAGACATGTTTGAAGTTTTGAAAAAGCCAAGAAAACAAAAACGTTCAAGTAGTCTGGTTCCCTGACTCCACTAAAGATGAAATGGATCAATTTATAGATGCCGGAAAATTGTTAGGTCAGGGAACCAGTCTAGCTGGGCTGCACCCGTTCATGAACATGTAACCAATAGCAAATAAAATTTTGACTGAACAAAATGGTAAATTTGGAGCAGTAGTTGAAAAATAGTTAGGTTTTCCAACGGTGGTCGGCCGACCACCGTTGGAAACACCAAGACTACTTGAACGTTTTTGTTTTCTTGGCTTTTTCAGCATTTTCGAACACAAAACTTCAACGGTGGTCGGCCGACCACCGTTGGAAATTTATACAAAAATACAATTTTCTTGAAAATGACTTCACACCAAGTGCCATAATTTTACAGGATGCTTTAGACTGTCATTAACCAAGATCCTAGTGAGGTATTTCGTAAAAACTTGGTGTTTGCAAATGTTGTATATTCCAAACGCCGTAATTTTTGGAATCACTTTTTGTGGGACCAATTTTTTTTTCGCCCAGCCCAAAAAATTGTGTTCTGGATCCACTCTTGGGGAAACACAGGTACATGTTTTCTACACAGCTTGCTTTATTTGCGTTTATGTCTTTGGTGGTTTGTGCCATTGATCTCAGACTGTGTACACAATGGTTTGGTGCAGTCAATGAAACGTGTTTGGCGCCCTCAATATTGAGGGCGCCAAACACAGTTTAATTGCCAAACACGCAGCTGTCTTGCTTGGTGTGTACATGTAGTTTGTTTAATTACCTTTCTGCGTTTGTGATTATGGGTCTTTGGTTGAGACCCTCCCACTCCAGTTTCATGCTCTTATTTCATTATCATATTTCTAATATTCATAGGACTGCAGACATGGTGTACAACCTCTGTCTCTCCGTTCCTTTGGAATATTGAGGAGTCTTTGGATGAACTCGCGTTTACTTCTGGCATGTGTAGCTAGCAAACCTTCACGTGCATGACGTGGGCTTGATCATCGATGTTGTTGTTGGATGAGCCCATGGAGGAATTCCTCCATGGATGAGCCATAGCCAATGTCATCGCCGATCGCATCATTTCGGATGTCATGACAGCGGTGCAGGGGGGAAGTCAACCAACTTTCCCAAGGTAGACAAATTCCCTTGATGTCAGTGTTTGCCTTACTGGAAAAAATGTTGCATCCTGAGCTGACGACACTTCTGCGATTGTCATGATTGTGTGGGTGTGTGGGTGCGTGTGTAAACACCGGCAATCGTGGACGTAGGACAAAAGAATTGGGGCGCAAACAATACGTCCACGATTGACCGAACGTCCACGATCTCAAATCGTGTACAAAACCAATGAGAGCTGTCGCTAAAAAGTTAGAGTACAAACAAAGGAAAGAGGATTAGGGACAATGGGGCGTCCACGATTGCCGGCATTTACACACGTGTGTGTGTGTGTGTATAAGGTCTTTGGACACGAATGAGAGTCAAGAAAAAAATGCTGTAAGTTATTTTCCTAACACAATTGGGAATGTTAATTCTCAGTGCATGCAGTCCCAGATTTATGTTGTTAGTATCACTCAGTATCATCATTTTGGCGATCATGTATAGTGTAGGGCCCCTGTTTTGTTTTGATCAAATTCGAATCAATTTTTTTTTTATGGCTAAAAAATGTTGTCAACCTAAAGCAGACTTCTCTCAATGTAATGACACCTTTTTGAATGTTGGTAATTTTTGAACACTAGTAATGCCTTCAAGAGAGAACTGCACAAAGACAGAAAATGTCTCATTTTCCTATGATTACTGATTACTGTTATTTTTTGCTCAACAGCTGATAAAAATCAACCAACCAGTTCTCTTGGTTGGGGAGTTATTTGGGTGGTAACGAAGCAGTGGACGAGGCAATCAATCGAGCACACCATTGAGACATGGATCAACCTCCACTCATTGACGGAGTTGTGCTGACTTAGATCATTGATGATTAAAGTAAGTAGCAAGTTTGAGTCCTGTACATGGGTTTGACCTTGGTTCGATTCCTCTTTTGTTCCAAGGTGTAGCCTTAGTTACCCTTGAATGAATTGAAACGTTTTTGGTTCAGATCCTACTGCTTCTTTGGTTTGATTCCTTTTAATTTCAAGTTGTAATCTCAGTTATCCTAGTATGAATTGAGTACTCCTAGAACTATGATGAGGCTCATAGGCAGATTACCCCACTAAACTGTTTGCTATACAAAACACCAACTAAGCACAAAAACGTCCATCCCAACCAAGCATTTTCCCACAGAACCGCTGCACAGTTTGCCCCTAAACTCCGTACAATACCTCATGACATAGGCCTACTCACGTTATGTGCACCAAACAAACATCGGTGGATTCTGTCGGTTTTTCGGCAAAAATGATGAAAAATATGCCCTTTCCGCACTGAGCCAACCTGACACTTGAAACGTGCACGCGCGCAGAATGATCGCAGTCATTTTCAGTTCAATCGCGATCACTCGGAGAGCGCCGTGGGGGGTACGTACTTGAACTTGTACGCATGCGCATATTATCGTTCCGCTCCTACCATACCCCCTGCGACGCGCTCTGAGGGATCGAACCGAAAATCGACTGCGATCATTCTGCGCGCGTGCACGTTTCAAGTGTCAGGTTGGCTCAGTGCGGAAAGGGCATATTTTTCATCATTTTTGCCGGAAAACCGACAGAATCCACCGATGTTTGTTTAGTGCACATAACGTGAGTGTGTCATGAGGTATTGTACGGAGTTTAGGGGCAAACTGTGCAGCGGTTCTGTGGGAAAATGCTTGCTTGGGATGGACGTTTTTGTACTAAGTTGGTGTTTTGTATAGCAAACAGTTTAGCGGGGTAATCTGCCTATGAGGCTCCACTACGTGGCGCCTCATAGTTCTAGGAGTATGAATTGAGGAGTCCTTGGTTCATGCCTAGTCCGAAAATTGGGGACTCTACATGTACTAGGCATTCATCCAACATGAGACAGAATTGCGCACAGGCCGTTTGGCCAACAAAAAAATAATAATGGGTCTCTGGTCAGACCAAAGTTCTTGAATTGATGTAGTGATGCATTAAAAAAAATATTCTTTGTCTGTACCATCCAAGCTTGGGAAAAAAATAGCAAAGTGGTAGGCCTACTGCTTTGTTTGTTTGAGTTCTCATATGGTGTTACATCATTTGACTTGGTGCCCTATCATTTGCGTTGTTGCCCTTGTGCTCCTTAGTGCTAAATATTTGAGGCGGTGCAGCACTAAAGGGCACTGTTGTGGCTACAGAAAACTTTAAAGAAAAAAAGAAATTGACTCAACGGATCAAAATTGACGCACAACAATTTTTTATGGCTAAATGGACAATAATGCAAGTGGGGGATTTTTGTTTTCTTTATATTTTCAGATTGAGTGATATTAATAACCTTTGATAGTCACTACATATGTTTTAAGGAAATTGTATAAAAAATATGGAGTAAGGTCTAAGGCATGTTTAAAGTAAAACCAATGGGCTTGTTTCATTGTTTTTGTCATGTAATGCTGTGGCCGGGTGAGGTGGAGTAGAGGGCGCTATTCAGGACATTCTTCTGTCACCTTGCAAGATGTAATGATTGCCAAGTCACTATAAATTTATATTTCCCGGATTGTTTGTATCAAAGATATACAGGTATCACAAGTCCTAAGTTCCCCCCAACATTATTCTTAATTAATGAAATAGAAAAGCACGATTTCAACAATATCCCAAATGCAAATGACAGAGGACACTCTCCTGCCCATCTTGTGAGAAAATGATAGAAATCCAATAACGCATACCAACACGGAAGCTCATTTGAATGAAAAAAGTGCCAATAAAAAAAGTTGCAGTAAATAGCATTGCTCCAATGTACTGGTTTGATCATGCTTTAAAAGGTAGAATGTTAATCCCTTTCGTATCTAATCTAAAAGAAATAGGATTACACAGCATTTTCTTTGTCACCTTTGCATTAAAAGGTCTGTCATTATCTGTTAGATTACCAAGATTGTGTCTTGTTTAGTCAAACATCCTTTTAAACAAGGAAACTTTTGTAAGGTAAAGTTATTAATTAATGAAAGTCTACCCTGCCTTGCAGGATCACTCAAACCAGTACGGTACATTGGAGCAATGCTATGTACTGAGACTTTTTTTATTGGCACTTTTTTCATTCAAATGAGCTTCGTGTTGGTATGCGTGATTGGATTTCTATCATTTTCTCACAAGATCGGCAGAAGAGTGTCCTCTGTTATTTGCATTTGTTATATTGTTGAAATCATGCATTTCTATTTCATTAATTAAGAATAATGTTGGGGGAACTTAGGACTTGTGATACCTGTATAACCAGGCATCCTATCCTATCTACATGTACAAGGATGGGACTAATAAGGGAGCAAAGACACTTCTTCTTCAGTGAAACAATAATTTATTCTTAAAAACTCCAAGAGTTCTGTGAACCAATTTGACATCTGTATGCATAGGACTCAGCTATCATTGCTTGTTCATCTGTCATCCGCTACGAATACCGCAAAATCTTTGTTTGTATACACGTTATCCGATGCAAACTGGTTAACCTATTTTGTTTTAACCTTGTTCCACTCGAATTTGCAGGATAGCTAATAATGAATACAAGTAAATGTCTCAATCAGTATTGTGGCGAAACGAGCTATAGGCCTACACCCTTTGTGGCGGGAATAACTAGGTGACCCGACAGTCTGACCTGATTGAAGGATGGAATTGGACCTGGCCTTAACCCACAAAAATATTTATTAACCTCGCGCAAGGATGAGCAATTACCCTGACGCAAGGGGGGATATAGTTAAAGAACGGCGGACTAAGCCTAGGGGCTGTTCGTTTGGCGGAAATGTACCATCGATCTGCCATTAAGTACTTGACTTTATTGACAGAAGAGGGGAATAACTTACTCAGATCTATCCAACAGAGAGCGGGACTACATAAGCTTCACAGTAACCAGTTATTCCAAGACGTTAATCAGTTAGTTTATTCCTTTAGCACACTTCAATTATAATGTCAATGCGTCACCATTCAATAATTTATGCAATGATAAACCTCACAGTTCTGATGAATCCAGGTAAACCTCGGACGGTGTTCGAATTAACACTGATAAACCTCATTCTTAAAACAATCACTAGTTAACCTTGCTGTGATAATGAACACTAGTAAACCACGCTGTTAGAATAAGCACTAGTAAACCTTGCTGTGATAATGAACACTAGTAAACCTCGCTGTTAGAATAAGCACTAGTAAACCTCGCTGTGATAATGAACACTAGTAAACCTCGTTGTTAGAATAAGCACTAGTAAACCTTGCTGTGATAATGAACACTAGTAAACCTCGCTGTTAGAATAAGCACTAGTAAACCTCGCTGTGATAATGAACACTAGTAAACCTCGTTGTTAGAATAAGCACTAGTAAATCTGCTGTGATAATGAACACTAGAAAACCTCGCTGTTAGAATAAGCACTAGTAAACCTCGCTGTGATAATGAACACTAGTAAACCTCGTTGTTAGAATAAGCACTAGTAAACCTTGCTGTGATAATGAACACTAGTAAACCTCGCTGTTAGAATAAGCACTAGTAAACCTTGCTGTGATAATGAACACTAGTAAACCTCGTTGTTAGAATAAGCACTAGTAAGCCTTGCTCTTAGCTGAGGGGTCAACTGCACCCCTTGTCATTAGCTTATACAATTATAACCTTCGTACAGCTCTTGGGTCAACTGCACCCTTTAGCTTATACAATTATAAACATCTGGTTCAACAGGGGTCAACTGCACTCCCTTATGATTAACTTGCACAATTATAATTCACAGCTGAGCGGGGTTATTCACGTAAGGTAAACCTCACTTGGGTATACCTCACCTATACTTCTAGGGGTTCCTACATGTAATTTATAAAGTGGTCGTCTGCACCACTGACTTAAATAACGGGCTAGTGTTCTTTCACTTTGCACAAAATGACTCTAATGAGGTCTACAATAACAGAGTAGATGTATACATGTACACTACAACACAGTCCTTGCTACTTGCTTGACCAGCGAATTACACACACGGGGTAGTGTAGTAACGTTATAACCCACCCGATGATAATAATAGTCCCCTGACGTTAACCCAGTAAACCTTCGGGAAACTCAGGGTTCACAGACTTTACGGGGTCGCAATCAACCGTATCTACGCCAAAGTTGCACAGGACAACGGCATGCAATTCCCTCCACAAAGTCACATTAAGCGGGTTCCCCAGCAGGAAAAGCGAGCTCTCAGTTGTCCAAGTCTGCATCAACCGCAGCCACGCCAATGAAGATCAACGGCAGACAGACCTTCTAAACAATCTTAGCTACACTATTTCCTCAATGGGAAAACAAGCCAACGGACTCACAGGGCAGCTATACCGCAGCTACGCCAAATGGCACAAACAACGGAAGACAATCCTTTAGTCTGAACTAAGCCTAACTGTTCCCCCAACCTTCAGATTTACTCCGAGTCCCACTACTATCTTAACTCAGGACCTACATGTACATGTATACATGTGTATATATCTGAAATATCCGACTTCTTAACAACAATCCACCCCAAATCTTATCCTATAAGACCTTAAAATGCACAGGGGGATGTAAACAACGAAGTCCAGCTTTACTGACCGATCACACCAGGCGCGCTGGGGCTTTCTCCCGCTCCAGTCCAACCAGGGTAACTCAGTAAACGCTCACGAGATTGCTCAATAATTGCTTGTTTCACAACGCGGTCTCTCCCAGTAGTTTACTCATTGAAGTCTCTCACAGCAGTCCCGATCCCACGCCAGGCCACGAGGCAATCGCCCCAGACCATGCCGGACGCACGCTGCTGATTGGTCGCCGTGCGCTATCATGCACTCAATCACGCAGTACACGCCTGCATAATTCATAGCCAGACATGCCCATCAGCCTAGTGTACATGCAGGACGCGCATGCTGATTGGTTGCCCCACAGTATCACGCACTTTAACGCGCGGGCTGACGTGATGCTTCTGAGGCTAGACTTGATATTAGTCACATACCCCTGTTTTGTTACAGTATCAAACATTTTTTCCCAAATTGACAATATCTAAATTTCTTGACCAGGTGATGGCAGATCTACCAGCTCACTTCACATCAGAGAGCTCTCTTGAGAAGCACCATAGAAGCACTATAAGGCCCAGGAGAAGGACTGCTTCTCACGGCTAGAACAGACTCAGACCAGAGCTCTCTTGAGAAGCACTGTACGGCCCAGGAGAAGGACCGCATCAAGTACATCACTACCTTGCTGGTGCTTCACAGGGATGGAACAGACTCAGACCAGAGCTCCCTTGAAGAGCACTATTCAGCCCAGGAGAAGGACTGCATCAAGTACATCGATCACAACCTTGCTGGTGCTTCACAGGGATGGAACAGACTCAGACCAGAGCTCCCTTGAGAAGCACTATACGGCCCAGGAGAAGGACTGCATCAAGTACATCACTACCTTGCTGGTGCTTCACAGGGATGGAACAGACTCAGACCATAACTCCCTTGAGAAGCACTATTCAGCCCAGGAGAAGGACTGCATCAAGTACATCGATCACTACCTTGCTGGTGCTTCACAGGGATGGAACAGACTCAGACCAGAGCTCCCTTGAGAAGCACTATTCAGCCCAGGAGAAGGACTGCATCAAGTACATCAATCACTACCTTGCTGGTGCTTCACAGGGATGGAACAGACTCAGACCAGAGCTCCCTTGAGAAGCACTATTCAGCCCAGGAGAAAGACTGCATCAAGTACATGTACATCGATCACTACCTTGCTGGTGCTTCACATGGATGGTGCAGACTCAGACCAGAGCTCCCTTGAGAAGCACTATACGGCCCAGGAGAAGGACTGCATCAAGTACATCAATCACTACCTTGCTGGTGCTTCACAGGGATGGTACAGACTCGGACCAGAGCTCCCTTGAGAAGCACTGTACAGCCCAGGAGAAGGACTGCATCAAGTACATCGATCACTACCTTGCTGGTGCTTCACATGGATGGTGCAGACTCAGACCAGAGCTCCCTTGAGAAGCACTATACGGCCCAGGAGAAGGACTGCATCAAGTACATCACTACCTTGCTGGTGCTTCACAGAGATGGAACAGACCAGAACTCCCTTGAGAAGCACTATTCAGCCCAGGAGGACTGCATCAAGTACATCGATCACTACCTTGCTGGTGCTTCACAGGGATGGAACAGACTCAGACCAGAGCCCCCTTGAGAAGCACTATTCAGCCCAGGAGAAGGACTGCATCAAGTACATCAATCACTACCTTGCTGGTGCTTCACAGGGATGGAACAGACTCAGACCAGAGCTCCCTTGAGAAGCACTATTCAGCCCAGGAGAAGGACTGCATCAAGTACATCGATCACTACCTTGCTGGTGCTTCACAGGGATGGAACAGACTCAGACCAGAGCTCCCTTGAGGAGCACTATACAGCCCAGGACAAGGACTGCATCAAGTACATCACTACCTTGCTGGTGCTTCACAGGGATGGAACAGACTCAGACCAGAGCTCCCTTGAGAAGCACTATTCAGCCCAGGAGAAGGACTGCATCAAGTACATCGATCACTACCTTGCTGGTGCTTCACAGGGATGGAACAGACTCTGACCAGAGCTCCCTTGAGGAGCACTATACAGCCCAGGAGAAGGACCGCATCAAGTACATCACTACCTTGCTGGTGCTTCACAGGGATGGTGCAGACTCAGACCAGAGCTCCCTTGAGAAGCACTATACGGCCCAGGAGAATGACTGCATCAAGTACATCAATCACTACCTTGCTGGTGCTTCACAGGGATGGTACAGACTCAGACCAGAGCTCCCTTGAGAAGCACTATACGGCCCAGGAGAAGGACTGCATCAAGTACATCACTACCTTGCTGGTGCTTCACAGGGATGGAACAGACTCAGACCAGAGCTCCCTTGAGAAGCACTATACAGCCCAGGAGAAGGACTGCATCAAGTACATCGATCACTACCTTGCTGGTGCTTCACAGGGATGGTACAGACTCAGACCAGAGCTCCCTTGAGAAGCACTGTACGGCCCAGGAGAAGGACTGCATCAAGTACATCGATCACTACCTTGCTGGTGCTTCACAGGGATGGAACAGACTCAAAGTCCTTCAATGTAAGACTTTTTCATATTTGAAGAGAAAATGCTCTAACTGTACTTTAAAACAGTTGAGGGAGTAACAGCAAAAGATCTTTCTTGCCCGATTTTTATGCTCAGCACAATAAAACAAAGACAAAAAAAAGTGGAAAATCTGTCAACAGCAGGATTCATCACACTGAATGTTTGGGGACTTTTTGATCGAGTACGACCCGATCACCTTTTTGAAATGGTAATAATTATTCTTTTTTTTTTTTTTTTGCTGGACAATAATTCTTTACGGGTTTTCTCCTACGTGAACTCGCTCGACCTTTACTTCCGGGTCTACTGGAAGGTCAAAGTTGGGTGAATTTAAATTACAGACAGCAGCCTCAAAATCAAAACGAACCACATCTTTTCCAAACAGTTCACGTGATGACGATAAAACCTAGATGGAATTTGAACCCTTGTCCGAAGATGTAAAAGAAATTGTGATGTCATCATGACATCACCTGGTATCAAATTACAAGCAGGTTAACATGAAAATTTGAGAGCTTACTTTTAATTAGGCTATAACTTTATAATGGAACAGTCTCATTTTTTTGTTGTTTCAGACATTGCTACTGGCAATATTTTGTTCCAGCATGTCCAGGGCACATACCATTTGACCTTTACTTCCAGTGTAACCGGAAGTACAATGATGATAAATTTAACTTGAAGATGGAAGCATTTTGCTACAATTATATAAATTATGCAAATATTTAGTGAGGAATGTCCAACACAAACATTGGCATGATGACATAATTACACGAAAGGGCACGTACCAGTACATTCACGCAATGCGTCTCTCCAACTAGGGCTCTCAAAAGTTGTCAAAAAGGGACAATCTACGTAATCTTTATAATCAGCCTAGATATATGTATGCACCTAGGGCATGTACAGGTAGGGCCTAGTACTTTTCATTTATTTTCTCAAAGGTGGTTTCATTTCAAAACGTAAAATGCACTCAAATTTGATCAAATTGTCTACTCAGATTGTTTATTTATTTATTTATTTCAACCGGATCCAACAGCGGCCAAATCACCAATTACAGTAGCACCAAAAATAATTGCAAACCAATAGTGTCACCAGAGTTATCTTGCGCTTAACTTTCCAGGTTGTTAACTTGTTGAATGCCTTGTACACGCTGTTCAACGCCAACATTTCCAACTATGACATCTAAAAGGTAAATATTTCATATGACTCAGCAGATTGTTTTAACCAGTTCGCGCTGGACTATTTTGACATTGACCAGACCAAGACTTGGGATTGTTTTCATGAATCTGGATGCCAGACGGCTTCAGGCTGTCATCTACGGGTAGCTCGCTGCAAGCGGGCCACTCACAGACATTTCGGGCCTCGCTTGTTGTGTGTTTATCCATCATCCATTCCGATTACCACAAAACCTTGCGTGTATACATACACGTTGTCTGATGTGAACTGGGAAGCCAAACGTGCCATATCACAGGAAGTTATTTTAAAGGGTACTGCAATAGATTATACTTAATACACTTATCCAAGTTCATTTATTATGGTTAATATGCAAACATGAAAAGATCAACAATACATTGACAGAAAGCACTTAACCCGTAACCCCTTAACTTGATTCTACCATCTTAGATCTGTTTTACTATCAGAGTACTTTACAAGCTATGCTTATACAAATGTAGTCTTGCATATTGACTGCTTCGAGTGGCATTATAAAACAGGTCTAGGAGGCTAGTTTGATTATGCCACTCAAAGTAGTCAGTATTAAAATGGAAGGTGTCATAGTCCTTTTAGCCATGTACATGTAGACGGAAAATAGCAAATACATTGTACTATGTGATGCACACTCTCGGCCACTGAAAAACACAGAATCTGTGGGTGCGGTGATATAATTACAAAGAGTCACTTGCATTATCATTGTCAACATTACTGGGCTGTTCGCAGGCGTAGTCATGACAATCACTCAGAGGTTAAGTTGATGCTACCATGGTTACTAGTTCAGGGAAAAACCAAGCAAATATGTATGTTCTATTATAATGTCTGAATGCAAAATTAACCAGTGTTAAATAATAACATCTTGCCAAGGTTGAAAGCATCGACGATGCCTACATGTTGGTCTCTTGCCTACTGATCCGTAATGGCAGCCGTCATGCTGGTATGATCGCCTCCACTGCATGACATCTCCTGGAGGGCGTTGATAGTTGATCATGCCACACAAACAAGATGAGAAACTCAAACTCCGCATCGGTATTCACTCAGGTAAGATCATTGTCTTTGCTTGTGGTCGAGATACTTAAGATTGATAAATCACAAATACATCACAAGTCCAGTCACAAGTACATCACAAGTCCAGTCACAAGTACATCACAAGTCCAGTCACAAGTACATCACAAGTCCAGTCACAAGTACATGTACATCACAAGTCCAGTCACAAGTACATCACAAGTCCAGTCACAAGTACATCACAAGTCCAGTCACAAGTCCAGTCACAAGTTCAGTCACAAGTACATCACAAGTCTAGTCACAAGTGCATCATCAGCCCAGTCACAAGTACATTACAAGTCCAGTCACATGTCCAGTCACAAGTCCGGTCACAAGTACATCACAAGTCCCGTCACAAGTACATCACAAGTACATCACAAGTACTGTACATCACAAGTCCAGGCACAAGTCCAGTCACAAGTCCAGTCACAAGTACATCATAAGTCAAGTCACAAATACATTACAAGTCCAGTCACAAGTAAATCACAAGTCCAGTCACAAGTATATCACAAGTCCAGTCACAAGTACATCACAAGTCTAGTCACAAGTACATCAGAAGTCCAGTCACAAGTACATCATAAGTCCAGTCACACATGCATCATAAGCCCAGTCACAAGTACATCACAAGTCTAGTCACAAGTACGTCACAAGTTAAGTCACAAGTACATCACAAGCCCAGCCCTAAGTACATTACAAGTCCAGTCACAAGAACATCACAAGTCCAGTCACAAGAACATCACAAGTCTAGTCACAAGTACGTCACAAGTTTAGTCACAGGTACATCACAAGTCCAGCCACAAGTACATTACAAGTCCAGCCACAAGTACATTACAAGTCCAGTCACAAGAACATTACAAGTCTAATCACAAGTGCATCATAAGCCCAGTCACAAGTACATCACTAGCCTGTTCACAAGTACATCGCAAGTCTGGTGGCAAGTCTATCACAAGTCGAGTCCAAGTACATCACAAGTTTAGTCACAAGTAAATCACAAGTCCAGTCACAAGTATATCACAAGTCCAGTCACAAGTACATCACAAGTCCAGTCACAAGTAAATCACAAGTCCAGTCACAAGTATATCACAAGTCCAGTCACAAGTATATCACAGTTCTAGTCACAAGTACGTGTACAACACAAGTCCAGTCACAAGTATTTCACAAGTCTAGTCACAAGTGCATCACAAGCCTAGTCACAAGTACATCACAGGTCCAGTCGCAAGCATATATCACAAGTCTAGTCACAAGTACATCACAAGTATTGTACTTTAATATAGCTCTTTGAGAACATCAGAGTCCAGCCGCAACTTAGGATCGATACAAAAAGAGGAAAATTACTATAAAAATAGAAAAACAACCCTTAGTACAGCTAGTCAGACTGTGAAATTATTCTCTCTGGCATTACATGTTGTCATTGTGAAGAACACAATAAAAGAAGGCCATTTCTAAATAGTGTGTCAAATGACACATTTTTTGGAAGTTTTCATTAGTAGTTGGTTTGTGATCAGACTAATCTGTGAATGGGTGTGCACAAGCGTTGACATGACTCATTCAGCGGTTTAGTGTGCAACATTGCAAAGCTTCAATCAGCTGAATGAGAACAAACGTGTCTCAGGAAGTTTTGAATAGAAATTGAGATCGTAGAATATTGTTTCCTCTGAAAACACAGCATTCACATATCTTTAACTTCATTTGGGGTAGTTGTTAAGCACCCATCTTTAGATTTTGAGAACTTTTGTTGCTTCAAATGGGAAAAAAATCACAAATGACAAATGATCTACCCTTCCTTCAATTTTCACTGCTGCAAATTCTCAAGTCCATCATATTTCAAAGGAAACATGAGATAACTGTTTCAACCAATCTCTTATATTTTTCCTTTCTTTTATTTCAGGGCAAAGGTGAAAGTCTGACGTACTGGCTCGAGGGACATGATCCAAGCTACAAGATCGACCAAATCAAGCCACCCAAACAAAACTTGTAAACAACCAGAATATTATCCCAACATTATCTGCAACGCATTTGGATCAACAATTTTTTGTAAAGAGGTAAAAAGCATAATCAGCTATTATACTACAGCGTTTGTAGGTCTATTTGAAAAACCTAACAACAAATTCAAATTAACACACAATTGTGTGTTCACCAACAGATTTGTTGTTCGCGATTACAGCTTTCGTTTAGCAACTTTAAGAAAAAGATTCAGGAAAAAAAGGTTTAGGTCTCATCACACTTGTACAATAACTAACTTTGATCAAGTCAGTTTTTTTTTTTTTTAACAAATACTGAAGTATTTTGTAGTCGCCTTTTAATCTACTACCATGTGGAAGTTGTAACAAAAATTCCGTCATCAAACAAACAGACTGTGAGTTCATAACTATACTGTTGAGAGTCACTAATTTGGTATTAAATTGTATTCAAACTAGTGATGCGTTTAAAAAAATATTCTTTGTCTGTACCATCCAAGCTTGGGAAAAAATAGCAAAGTGGTACTGCTTTGTTTGTTTGAGTTCTCATATGGTGTTACATCATTTGACTTGGTGCCCTTGTGCTTAGTGCTAAGTATTTGAGGTGGTGCACTGTTGTAGCTACAGAAAACTTTAAAGAAAAAAGGAAATTGACTCAACAGATCAAAATTGGCGTACAACGATTTTTTATGGCTGAATGGACAATAATGCAAGTGGGGGATTTTTGTTTTCTTTTTATTTTCAGATAGAGTGATATTAATAACCTTTGATAGTCACTACTTATGTTTTAAGGAAATTGTATAAAAAATATGGAGTAAGGTCTAAGGCATGTTTAAAGTAAAACCAATGGACTTGTTTCATTGTTTTTGTCATGTAATGCGGCCGGGGGAGGTGGGGTAGAGGGCGCTATTCAGGACTTTTTCCTGTCACCTTGCAAGATGTAATGATGCCAAGTCACTATAAATTTATATTTCCCGGATTCGTTTGTATCAAAGTTATATAACCAGGCATCCTATCCTATCTACAAGGATGGGACTAATAAGGGAGCAAAGACACTTCTTCTTCAGTGAAACAATAATTTATTCTTAAAAACTCCAAGATTTTTTTGAACCAATTTGACATCTGTATTGATAGGACTCAGCTATCATTGCTTGTTCATCTGTCATCCGCTACGAATACTGCAAAATCTTTGTTTGTATGCACGTTATCCGACGCAAACTGGTTAACCTATTTTTTTTTAACCTTGTTCCACTCGAATTTGCAGGATAGCTAATAATGAATACAAGTAAATGTCTCAATCAGTATCAAACATTTTTTCCCAAATTGACAATATTCAAATTTCTTGACCAGGTGATGGCAGATCTACCAGCTCACTTCACATCAGAGAGCTCTCTTGAGAAGCACTATAGAAGCACTATAAGGCCCAGGAGAAGGACTGCTTCTCACGGCTAGAACAGACTCAGACCAGAGCTCTCTTGAGAAGCACTGTACGGCCCAGGAGAAGGACCGCACCAAGTACATCACTACCTTGCTGATGCTTCACAGGGATGGAACAGACTCGGAACAGAGCTCCCTTGAGAAGCACTATACGGCCCAGGAGAAGGACCGCACCAAGTACATCACTACCTTGCTGGTGCTTCACAGGGATGGAACAGACTCAGACCAGAGCTCCCTTGAGAAACACTATGCGGCCCAGGAGAAGGACCGCACCAAGTACATCACTACCTTGCTGGTACTTCACAGGGATGGAACAGACTCAGACCAGAGCTCCCTTGAGAAGCACTATACAGCCCAGGAGAAGGACCGCATCAAGTACATCACTACCTTGCTGGTGCTTCACAGGGATGGAACAGACTCAGACCAGAGCTCCCTTGAGAAGCACTATACAGCCCAGGAGAAGGACCGCACCAAGTACATCACTACCTTGCTGGTGCTTCACAGGGATGGAACAGACTCAGACCAGAGCTCCCTTGAGAAGCACTATACAGCCCAGGAGAAGGACCGCATCAAGTACATCACTACCTTGCTGGTGCTTCACAGGGATGGAACAGACTCAGACCAGAGCTCCCTTGAGAAGCACTATACAGCCCAGGAGAAGGACCGCATCAAGTACATCACTACCTTGCTGGTGCTTCACAGGGATGGAACAGACTCAGACCAGAGCTCCCTTGAGAAGCACTATACAGCCCAGGAGAAGGACCGCATCAAGTACATCACTACCTTGCTGGTGCTTCACAGGGATGGAACAGACTCAGACCAGAGCTCCCTTGAGAAGCACTATACAGCCCAGGAGAAGGACCGCATCAAGTACATCACTACCTTGCTGGTGCTTCACAGGGATGGAACAGACTCAGAACAGAGCTCCCTTGAGAAGCACTATACAGCCCAGGAGAAGGACCGCATCAAGTACATCACTACCTTGCTGGTGCTTCACAGGGATGGAACAGACTCAGAACAGAGCTCCCTTGAGAAGCACTATACAGCCCAGGAGAAGGACCGCATCAAGTACATCACTACCTTGCTGGTGCTTCACAGGGATGGAACAGACTCAGAACAGAGCTCCCTTGAGAAGCACTATACAGCCCAGGAGAAGGACCGCATCAAGTACATCACTACCTTGCTGGTGCTTCACAGGGATGGAACAGACTCGAAGTACTGCAAAGTAAGACTTTTTCATATTTGAAGAGAAAATGCTCTAACTGTACTTTAAAACGGTTGAGGGAGTAACAGCAAAAGATCTTTCTTGCCCGATTTTTATGCTCAGCACAATAAAACTAAGACAGAAAAAAAGTGGAAAATCTGTCAAAAGCAGGATTCATCACACTGAATGTTTTTGGGGACTTTTTGATCGGGTACGACCCGATCACCTTTTTGAAATGGTAATAATTATTCTTTGGGTTTTTTTTGCTGGACAATAATTCTTTACGGGTTTTCTCCTAAACCTACGTGAACTCGTTCGACCTTTACTTCCGGGTCTACTGGAAGGTCAAAGTTGGGTGAATTTAAATTACAGACAGAAGCCTCAAAATCAAAACGAACCACATCTTTTCCAAACAGTTCACGTGATGACGATAAAGCCTACATGTAGATGGAATTTGAACCCTGGTCCGAAGATGTAAAAGAAATTGTGATGTCATCATGACATCCCCTGGTATCAAATAAGTCATTTGCGAGTAACCTACACCCTTTGGGATTTACGTTTGAAAAACATATGGTACACTGACTTGCTCAGAATGCTTGACCCATTTTAACTTTGAATTCTCCAGACCAAAGACACTGTTGCTAATCACATGATTCGGGGCAAGCTCTTGCATAGTTATGCTCAGCACCAATACATCGTTCACAATGGGTGAGAATGGCACAAAGACACCAGACCATGCCGGAGCTGGGGGTTGCTAGCATAAGGCTTGCCTGGAATCACGTGATATAGAAACAGTGTCTTTGGTCGGGAGAATGCAAAGTTTAAACGTGCAAACCATTGGATTAAGTCAGCATACCAGATTTTATTAAAATTTAACTCGCAAATGGCTTATTACAAGCTGGTTAACATGAAAATTTGAAAGCTTACATGTACTTTTAATAAGGCTATAACGGAACAGAGTAGTATTCTCATTTTTGTTTTGTTTCAGACATTGCTACTGGCAATATTTTGTTCCAGCATGTCCAGGGCGCATACCATTTGACCTTTACTTCCAGTGTAACCGGAAGTGCAATGATAATAAATTTAACTTGAAGACGGAAGTATTTTGCTACGGTTATATAAATAAGGCAAATATTTAGTGAGGAATGTCCAACACAAACATTGGCATGATGACATAATTACACGAAAGGGCGCGTACCAGTACATTCACGCAGTGCGTCTCTCCAACTAGGGCTCTCAAAAGTTGTCAAAAAGGGACAATCTACTGTTTGTGCACGTAATCTTTATAATCAGCCTAGATATACATGCACCTAGGGCATGTAGGGCCTAGTACTTTTCAATCATATTCTCAAAGGTGGCTTAAGTTCAAAACATAAAATGCACTCAAATTTGATCAAATTGTCTACTCAGATTATTTATTTATTTATTTATTTCAACCGGATCCAACAGCGGCCAAATTGCCAATTACAGTAGCACCAAAAATAATTGCAAACCAATAGTGTCACCAGAGTTACCCTTTACATCTTGCGCTTAACTTTCCAGGTTGTTAACTTGTTGAATGCCTTGTACACGCTGTTCAACGCCATCATTTCCAACTATGACGTCTAAAAGGTAAATATTTCATATGACTCAGCAGATTGTTTTAACCAGTTTGCGCTGGACTATTTTGACATTGACCAGACCAAGACTTGGGATTGTTTTCATGAATCTGGATGCCAGACGGCTTCAGGCTGTCATCTACGGGTAGCTCGCTGCAAGCGGGCCACTGACAGACATTTTAGGCCTCGCTTGTTGCGTGTTTATCCATCATCCATTCCGATTACCGCAAAACCTTGCGTGTATAACACGTTGTCTGATGTGAACTGGTTAAGCCAAACGAACCATATCACAGGAAGTTATGTTAAAGGGTACTTGTACCATCTTAGATCTGTTTTACTATCAGAGTACTTTACAAGCTATGCTTATACAAATGTAGTCTTGCATATTGACTGCTTTGAGTGGCATTATAAAACAGGTCTAGGAGGCTAGTTTGATTATGCCACTCAAAGTAGTCAGTATTAAAATGGAAGGTGTCATAGTCCTTTTAGCCATGTACATGTAGACGGAAAATAGCAAATACTATGTAAAATATCTATGCCTCGTGGTAAAAACGCCCGCCCAAATTTACAAAAGAAAAACTGCTATACCACAGGTTTCCCTGTAGTATAGTCATATTTTTTATTATTAATTTAATATGGAGGGATACTTCATCAAATACAAATAACTTTTCAAACACAACTGGTTAATTATAACATCAAACTTGATCATTTGAAACAGGTATTTTTATGTGGAAGGAAGTGGAACATTAACGTACATAATTCGCTCATAACAAACTTATGATAAGACCGGCCAATATTGAAAAATCTACTTCAATCTTGTTTAGCCAAATCATAGTTCCATGTTATTAGGCATTTTTGTATGTGTGCTTCTAGCCTACTGCTGGTAACCTGAGGCTTTATCAAAGGAGAACTACAGTACTAAGATACGCACATTTCTGTGACAACAAGACATATTTTTTAGAGAAAAGAAGAAATGCGTTCATGGAGAAACTTCTACTCTGTAAACACAAGAAAGAGGAAATTGCCAGTCATAAAAGACATACAATTTGAAATCTGTGAGCAATACATCATGAATGAAACACGACGAAAAGAACCACCTCAAGTTCAAGATAATCTACACACAGCTAACAAAAGTATTGCTGAAAGACCGACATTTAATTCCGGAACACCTGAAATTACATGTATGCAATCTGTTTCCCAGAAAACCAATTCCTGCCTATAAAAGGCCAAAAATCTTAAAGGTGTACTTGTCAAATCAAGGTTTATCAATAACTGGGAATTGGACTCATAACAAGGTTCACACAAAATGTTATTAGATGCACTTATGTGTATCTATGCACCCTAACATTTGACATGACTAATTTAGCCGAATATAAAATACTGGATTTGGCTTACATGTACTACGGATGAAGCTCTGCTATTATAGCATGAGAGCAGAAACCGGTCCAGTTGGGTCTTAGAGCCATTTCTATTCATTTTTACTTATTAAAAGTACACTCAAATCACCATAGAGGTGTTTGTTTTTTTTGAAAAAATGCCATGAGCTCATGATTTCTTGAGCACTCCCTAATAATAAATGCTAGTCTGAGTATCACCCGTTATCCACGGAGCCCAGACTCCTGTCTGACGTCTGATATATCAAGGCATGCAGATTTATGCGATCTCGCGCCTCAGCCAATCGGAGTCGACTTTACTAAATCGTGACGTCATTTCAATCCCAAATCAGGACTGAACGTTTGATTGGTCAATTCGAATGCAGTGTTTTGTAATGCAACAACAGCCGGGCGCGTTATCGCGTAACATGGTAACAGAGTGCGTGACGCAGGGCTTTTTAATCCATTGTCTATGATGCGCAACGGTGAATGACTGAAGACCCGATATAGAAAGCGCCAACTGATTGGTCAAAATCTATGAGGTTAAGAGGCGGGGTCTTGCCTAATTAATCTGCGAATCTGCTCACATACCATAGACCCATTGCATTCGCCACTAAACAAACATTTGCCAGATTCCTTGCCACTTCGTAACATCAGTTAGTGATACCGCCTACATGTACCTCCCCACTTCAAGCAATACACTGCCAGGGGCGGATCCAGGAGTTTTCGCAGGGGGGGGGGGGGTTCATCAGTTAAAAATCTGAAAATGTTCACAGGTTTTTTTCTCCAGACACTTTGCCTCCGTAAAATCAAAAACAGAGGGGGGGGGGGGGGGGGGGCTGGTACCATATTTCAATAGGGGGCGCTGTTCAAATTTGACGATTATTAACACTAGATTACAGAATGATGTACCGTTTTTCGAACAGGTGGACATTATACCAGTATAATGTTTGTTTGGGTGTCGTAGCGGGGGGGGGGGGGGGGGGGGGGCGACTTTTTTTTAGGAATTTGTAAGATAATTTTTTTTTTGACAGAGCGGGTTTTTTTGGGGACCCCCAAAACCCCCCTCTGGATCCGTGCCTGACTGTTTAATATTTATGTAGTGGGACTCTTATAGCTAATACTTACTCATACAACAAACATTATGCTGTACAAAGTTCTAACAGTGATGTTTTTGAAGATAAATGAGGCTGCAATAGAGTTTGATATCAAGGAAAGTACTGGGCGTTTTTTCCCCGAGACCCCTGATTTTGCCCGGGTAAAAATGCCCACTCAAAAAACATTATTAAGCAAATATTAAAATAGATTTTAATATTGTAATCATTTATAATTATGTTATTAACCCTTCTTAATATATATCAACTAGAGAATAATAAAAATATAAGATTTTCAGCGATATAGGCTAAACCTTCAATGGCCATTTTTTAAAAAATTTTTTTACATACGTTCCCTTCAAATATGTTAATGAATTTAATTCTTTTTATTATTAGTTTTTATCTACATTGTACTTATTAAAAATATATTCCATTGAACAATTTATCTTGTAATTTTTTACTAGCAGTGGAAACAAGTCAAGTGGGCTTTTGTTCCCCATGGGCTTTTTTACCCCAGTTTACCCTATTAAAATGGAAGGTGCCATAGTCCTTTTAGCCATGTACATGTAGACGGAAAATAGCAAATACTATGTGATGCACACTCTCGGCCACTGAAAAACACAGAATCTGTGGGTGCGGTGATATAATTACAAAAAGTTACTTGCATTATCATTGTCAACATTACTGGGCTGTTCGCAGGCGTAGTCATGACAATCACTCAGAGGTTAAGTTGATGCTACCATGGTTACTAGTTCAGGCAAAAACCACGCAAATACGTGTATGTTCTATGATAATGTCTGAAAGCAAAATTAACCAGTGTTAAATAATAACATCTTGCCAAGGTTGAAAGCATCGACGATGCCTACATGTTGGTCTCTTGCCTACTGATCCGTAATGGCAGCCGTCATGCTGGTATGATCGCCTCCACTGCATGGCATCTCCTGGAGGGCGTTGATAGTTGATCATGCCACACAAACAAGATGAGAAACTCAAACTCCGCATCGGTATTCACTCAGGTAAGATCATTGTCTTTGCTTGTGGTCGAGATACTTAAGATTGATAAATCACAAATACATCACAAGTCCAGTCACAAGTACATCACAAGTCCAGTCACAAGTACATCACAAGTCCAGTCACAAGTACATCACAAGTCCAGTCACAAGTACATGTACATCACAAGTCCAGTCACAAATACATCACAAGTCCAGTCACAAGTACATCACAAGTCCAGTCACAAGTCCAGTCACAAGTTCAGTCACAAGTACATCACAAGTCTAGTCACAAGTGCATCATCAGCCCAGTCACAAGTACATTACAAGTCCAGTGACATGTCCAGTCACAAGTCCAGTCACAAGTACATCACAAGTCCCGTCACAAGTACATCACAAGTACATCACAAGTACATCACAAGTACTGTACATCACAAGTCCAGGCACAAGTACATTACAAGTCCAGTCACAAGTCCAGTCACAAGTACATCATAAGTCAAGTCACAAATACATCACAAGTCCAGTCACAAGTACATCACAAGTCCAGTCACAAGTACATCACAAACCTAGTCACAAGTACATCACAAGTCCAGTCACAAGTACATCATAAGTCTAGTCACAAGTACATTACAGTTCCAGTAACAAGTACATTAAGAGTCCAGTCACAAGTACATCACAAGCCTAGTCACAAGTGCATCATAAGCCCAGTCACAAGTACATTATTATTATTATTATTATTATTATTAGCAACCAAAGCATCTAAAATGGTTGGATTAAAAACATTTGGAAAATATTTAAATTACATTTGAGTTTGAAATATATTAAACCTTTTAAATAGCAATGCACATTTAACATTAAAAGCTTCTAAAAGTAACCAAGTTACTGGAAACATACTTTCACATACCTAGAACATGACTAACAGAGCTCCACCGGTCATGACAAGTATTTAAATTTAAAAACAAAACATTTCAGTTATAATACATAATTAAATCATTTAGACACACATGCATTCACAGGCAACTTCACACGATATAAAAACACTTCAACCTAAAATAGTCATTAATATCAACATCAGCATCAACTTAACATTGCTAAAAAGTGACTAACAATTAGGACTGTAAATTATAAAGACACCAGGGAATGAAACTATTCTTTAGTCTGTTCGTTTTACAGAAAGGCAGGCTGAACTGTCTCTGGTTCCTTAATGCATACGATACAGGCTGGTGTTTTTCGAGCAAATGATTCAGCCTATGGTTAGGATTTGACATGTCAGCGAATAACTGCTCACACAGTGACTTCCTGCGCGGGCATATAGACTTTGAATATCTACCTGCTCCATTGCCTTTGCATTAGACTTACCAGGGATAATAATTCTCAAAGCTCTTCGTTGAATGGATTCGAACAAATTGGACTGTTCCTTAAGCCGTGTCCGCACTGGACTTTTTTTTTGCAAGGTTTTACTGAGACAATGGTAAAATGAGAAATGGTCAAATGTGACCACTGTCCGCACTTGGACTTTCGACATGGGAAAATTTACCCAGACCGCGTGGGAGAAGTAACCGAGCTGTCACAGTGTCAGTATAATCATGACTCACGGTCACCGTACACAGGAAACAAATTGCCGATCACATTTTCAGCCGCCGATACGCACAGTAATATTACACACGCCATTTGCATGCACAACATAATCGTTTACACAATATTATTTCATCTTGACACGCTAAATCTTGACGAAAAGGCCTATAATTCTGACGCATTTGTGATGCACGTCGTCGAAGCCATGCCGCTGTACGATGTTCCATGCGGCAGCAGTGCCATCAGTATTCGTTGGTTCCCATCGCATGCTTACAGAATCGAAGCTATGATGTGGGCCAGGAACCAGTGACTACGGCCTACGTACGGTACCGGACCATGATGTTCACTGCATGACTACAGTAGCGTATCAGGACGAATTTGGATCGTAGAAAATAACATGCATCGGTGGAGAAAGAGAATTTCCGCAAATTAATTCTCAGAACGTGATCTCTCTCTCTCTCTCTGTATGTATTTGTCCGTTGAAATATATATTTTAACGAGATTTTACCGATCGGACTTGATGATACACCGCAGCGTGTTTCTACAAAATGTTCCGCCACTGCTCTTGCAGGTTCCTGCGGTCTCTGTATGCATAACATACAGGGCGCTCGGGCTGGATGTACGCTTTCCTGAGCCGCTTTTACTGACTCGCACTGTCCGCACTGGACTTATCGTCTCGGGAAAAGTTACCTGGTCAGTTTTCCTGGGCGCGTGGGAAGTTTTCCTGGGCAGCAGTTGGCCAGTAAAAGTAACCGCTGGACTCAGGAAAAGTAACCGAGAGGAAAACGTCCTAGGCTTTCCGCACTGGATTTAAAGTGGGAAAAGTACCCATAGTCTCGGTTAGTTTGACCAAAAAAAGTCCAGTACGGACAGGGCTTTAGTTAAGCTGCTATGGTAAACCTGGCATGCATAATCAAGTATGGATCTAATACAAGCAAAATAGTATTTGCAGAGGTCCAGCTGGTTAAGACCTGCCCTACGAAGTTGCATTTACAATAAAGTCTCTGAGCAGCTTTCGTATACACAGCATTAACATGAGTTTCCCATCGTAAATCATCACTGATGTTCAACCCTAACAGTTTCATTTGTTTCACACGATCAATGTTATGATCATCAATGTTTTTGCTTGGAATTAACGGCACATGTTTACGGAAACTGATAACCATTTCTTAGTTTTATTTGGATTAATCTGCATGTCATTATGTGAACATGGTGAAGACCAATCAATCACCTCCTGTACCGACTCCTGCATTTTGGATTCATCTGGCGATGTCACTGTTTCAGCTAGGCTGCCTGGCCGGCTATGCACTAACTTTTAAGGCCGGGGACCGGATGGGGCAGCCGGCAGCACTTCCCGGTATTTATTTCTCATTATCAATTTCCATAAGTGGGGGAACATACCTTGATCAGAACTGATGCGAGCGTGAAGCGCGAAGCCCTTGAGGCGTGGGGTTAGGGGCCCGCTTTAAAGGGCCCCGAATTTTTTTGGATTCTAGATGCTCTGTGGTGCGATCTGAGGCAATTTCTGACCACTTTAACCAATATTTTCTGAGCAAAAGATACATTGTAGTACATAATACTATTAATAGGGCCCTATAAATGAGACACGTGTTCAGAAATCTTTTTTTACCTCTTGCATCATATTAATTAACCTGGTTTTTTAAAAATCGCTCCTGGTAAAAAGTGGGGGGGGGGGGCAAAATAGCTACCCATTCAAAAGTGGGGGGGGGGGGGGCAACTGCCCCCTCTGCCCCCCCCCCCCGGTTCCGCCGCCGGTGCAGTGTTGTATCATCAACATATTTGACTGTGGGCAGGGAGGGTTGAAGATCTCCAATCATCATGATGAAAAGCAATGGCCCAAGTTTTGTTCCCTGTGGGTCTCCACCATTGATGACAGTCCACTGCGATTTACAGGTGCCGATCTTAACACGCTGCATTCCGTGTCGCAGGAACTCTGTAACCCAGTTGACGATGAGTTGATCAACATGAAGAGATTCCAGTTTATCGATGAGAATCACATGGTTGATCCTATCAAATGCCTTGCTGTAGTCGAGGAAAAGGACACACACCATGTTCTTGGCTTGATCTGTGGCAGAGTACCAGTTGTGCAACAGGTCAATGAGAGTGCAAGTAGTTGATGAGCCCGGGACATTACCAAATTGGACTGGATCTAACTGCGGCTGGTACTGCTCCCATAGCCATTTAAACACAAATCCCTCAAGAATCTTCACTAGCACGGCGGTTAGGGAGATTGGATGCAAGTCATTCTCTACTGAGGCAGGTGGAGTCGTTTTCGGGATGGCGATAACTTCAGCAGCCTTCCAGATGCTTGGTAGAGTTGCTTGGGCCACCAAAGCATTAAAGATGGAGCAGACGGGTCTTGCCAACATGGATGCGTGATCTTTCAAGATCCAATTGGGAATCTGATCAGGACCAGGTGCCTTGTGTGTTCTCACCAACTTCAGTGCTTTCTCAACCACCGCACTTGTGAGGACGTACTTGGTAGGAATTAAATCTTCACTGTGAGACTCTGGTGCTTCTAGCGGAGGTAGATCGGATGAGATGGATGCAAAGAAAGAATTCACAAATTCGGCAAATTCTTCCTGATCACCATGGGCAACATTGTCGACAAGGTTTTTCAATGGTTATAGTCGTGTTTCTCACCTTTGAGTGACTTTACTTCGTTCCACCAATTTCTGCTTTGTTTAAGGTCCAGAAGATCAACTTTTGCCTGAAAGTACTGTTTCCGAATCGACTTGCTCAACCTGTTCACTTTGTTTCTGTAATACCTATACTTGGGCTGGTGTCCTCCGTGCCAAGCACGCTGTCTCTTTTTTATCAAATCCCTAAAACTGTCTAGCGAGGTGTACAAAAATGTATACATGTATGTGCTCCAGCATATATGATTATGCTTGTCTTTGACGTTATGGGGCTGATAAATAGCTCCAAACACAATGGAATTAAACTGCCGCGGAAGACGTTGGGGCTGCAATTTAAGCCAGACAGACTCGACGTTCTCCTCAGCTAAATTCCTGAGCACCGAGAATGGAATGTTGGCATGTACATAGCACACAATCCCTCCACCTGATGTATGGTCTCTGTTATGTCTTATTGGGGGGGGGGGGGGGGGTGATAGTGATCTAACAACAGGACGCTATCAGGAACACTGGTAGGACACCATGATTCTGTTATGCAACACACATCGACTTTATGTTTAGTTAGTGTTACACTTAACTCATCAAGTTTTGGAATCAAAGTTCTGGCGTTCGCATTCATCAGGGTAGGTATATTAAGTTTATTGGTTTTAATTGCCACCAAGTTACTCACGCAGACACCCGGCTGTTGCTTTCGAGGCCGCATATTTCTACAGTTAACCACGACTCTGATGGGGCGTTGGCGAGAAATTCCAGCCCTGGTACCCCGCTTGATATATTTATTGCATAGACCATGCAACTTCAGCGTAGACCACACTTTCGCTGGTAATCTGCCTACTGCTCCAGTCTGTTTCATCATATGGTTCCAATGCTGAGTAACTGTTGTGCGGTGTAGCGTAACATGGTGGTGCAACGTGACTTGCCCAAATGTCGACACAGTCACATTGTCCAAAACCTCCAACAATTTGCTGTATTGCAATGTCTTAAAAACTCACTAATTATCACACAACATATGACAAAGGCACAATACGACAAAACAAGACGTAACACGCAAAAAACGGAATTTTTGCAGAGCAAAAACGAGAGGGTGCTGCCACACAGCGCACCACTAGACACTAGACATTACCAGTCTAGTCACAAGTACATCACAAGTCACATCACAAGTCCAGTCAAAAGTACTTCACAAGTACATTACAAGTCCAGTCGCATGTCCAGTCACAAGTCCAGTCACAAGTCCAGTCACAAGTATAACGCAAGTCTAGTCACAAGTACATCACAAGTCCATTCACAAGTACATCATAAGTCCAGTCACAAGTACGTCATAAGTCCAGTCACAATTACATCACAAGTCTAGTCACACGTACATCATAAGCCAAGTCACAAGTACATCACAAGTCTAGTCACAAGTACGTCACAAGTTTAGTCACAAGTACATCACAAGTCCAGCCACACGTACATTACAACTCTAGTCATAGGTACATCACAAGTCCAGTCACAGGTACATCACAAGTCCAGTCACAAGAACATAACAAGTCTAGTCACAAGTACGTCACAAGTTTAGTCACAGGTACATCACAAGTCCAGACACAAGTACATTACAAGTCTAGTCACAAGTACATCACAAGTCCAGTCACAGGTACATCACAAGTCCGGTCACAAGAACATCACAAGAACATCACAAGTCTAGTCACAAGTGCATCATAAGCCCAGTCACAAAAATATCACTAGTCTGTTCACAAGTACATCGCAAGTCTGGTGGCAAATACATCACAAGTCCAGTCACAAGTACAACACAAGTCCAGTCACAAGTACATCACAAGTCCAGCCACAAGTACATCACAAATCTGGTGGCAAGTACATCACAAGTTTAGTCACAAGTATGTCACAAGTATATCACAAGTCCAGTCACAAGTATATCACAAGTCCAGTCACAAGTTCATTACAAGTCTGGTGGCAAGTACATCACAAGTTTAGTCACAAGTACATCACAAGTCCAGTCACAAGTGAATCACAAGTCCAGTCACAAGTATATCACAAGTCCAGTCACAAGTAAATCACAAGTCTAGTCACAAGTACATCACAAGTCTAGTCACAAGTACATCACAAGTCTAGTCACAAGTACATCACAGGTCCAGTCGCAAGCATATATCACAAGTCTTGTACTTTAATATAGCTCTATGGGAACATCAGAGTCCAGCCTAAAGGATCGATACCCAAGTAGGAAAATTACAATAAAAATAAAAAACAACCCTTAGTACAGCTAGTCAGACTGCCTGTGAAATTATTCTCTCTGGCATTACATGTTGTCATTGTGAAGAACACAATAAAAGAAGGCCATTTCTAAATAGTGTGTCAAATGACACATTTTTGGGGAGTTTTCGTTAGTAGTTGGTTTGTGATCGGACTAATCTGTGAATGGGTGTGCACAAGTGTTGACATGACTCATTCAGCGGTTTAGTGTGCAACATTGCAAAGCTTCAATCAGCTGAATGAGAACAAACGTGTCTCAGCAACTTTTGAATAGAAATTGAGATCCTAGAATATTGTTTCCTCTGAAAACATAGCATTCACATATCTTTAACTTCATTTGGGGTAGTTGTTAAGCACCCATCTTTAGATTTTGAGAACTTTTGTTGCTTCAAATGGGAAAAAAATCACAAATGACAAATGATCTACCCTTCCTTCAATTTTTACTGCTGCAAATTCTCAAGTCCATCATATTTCAAAGGAAACATGAGATAACTGTTTCAACCAATCTCTTATATTTTTCCTTTCTTTTATTTCAGGGCAAAGGTGAAAGTCTGACGTACTGGCTCGAGGGACATGATCCAAGCTACAAGATCGACCAAATCAAGCCACCCAAACAAAACTTGTAAACAACCAGAATATTATCCCAACATTATCTGCAACGCATTTGGATCAGCAATTTTTTGTAAAGAGGTAAGAAGCATAATCAGCTATTATACTACAGCGTTTGTAGGTCTATTTGAAAAACCTAACAACAAATTCAAATTAACACACAATTGTGTGTTCACCAACAGATTTGTTGTTCGCGATTACAGCTTTCGTTTAGCAACTTTAAGAAAAAGATTCAGGAAAAAAAAGGTTTAGGCCTCATCACACTTGTACAATAACTAACTTTGATCAAGTCACCTATTTTTTTTTTTTTAACAAAGACTGAAGTATTTTGTAGTCGCCTTTTAATCTACTACCATGTGGAAGTTGTAACAAAAATTCCGTCATCAAACAAACAGACTGTGAGTTCATAACTATACTGTTGAGAGTCACTAATTTGGTATTAAATTGTATTCAAACTAGTGATGCGTTTAAGAAAATATTCTTTGTCTGTACCATCCAAGCTTGGGAAAAAATAGCAAAGTGGTACTGCTTTGTTTGTTTGAGTTCTCATATGGGCTTACATCATTTGACTTGGTGCCCTATCATTTGCCTTGGTGCCCTTGTGCTCCTTAGTGCTAAATATTTGAGGCGGTGCAGCACTAAAGGGCACTGTTGTAGCTACAGAAAATTTTAAAGAAAAAAAGAAATTGACTCAACAGATCAAAATTGACGCACAACGATTTTTTATGGCTGAATGGACAATAATGCAAGTGGGGGATTTTTGTTTTCTTTATATTTTCAGATTGAGTGATATTAATAACCTTTGATAGTCACTACTTATGTTTTAAGGAAATTGTATAAAAAATATGGAGTAAGGTCTAAGGAATGTTTAAAGTAAAACCAATGGGCTTGTTTCATTGTTTTGTCATGTAATGCTGCGGCCGGGTGAGGTGGAGTAGAGGGCGCTATTCAGGACTTTCTTCTGTCACCTTGCAAGATGGAATGATGCCTAGTCACTATAAATTGATATTTCCCGGATTCGTTTGTATCAAAGATATATAACTAGGCATCCTATCCTATCTACAAGGATGGGACTAATAAGGGAGCAAAGACACTTCTTCTTCAGTGAAACAATAATTTATTCTTAAAAACTCCAAGATTTTTTTGAACCAATTTGACATCTGTATTGATAGGACTCAGCTATCATTGCTTGTTCATCTGTCAACCGCTACGAATACTGCAAAATCTTTGTTTGTATACACATTATCCGACGCAAACTGGTTAACCTATTTTTTATTTAACCTTGTTCCACTCGAATTTGCAGGATAGCTAATAATGAATACAAGTAAATGTCTCAATCAGTATCAAACATTTTTTCCCAAATTGACAATATTCAAATTTCTTGACCAGGTGATGGCAGATCTACCAGCTCACTTCACATCACAGAGCTCTCTTGAGAAGCACTATAAAAGCACTATAAGGCCCAGGAGAAGGACTGCTTCTCACGGCTAGAACAGACTCAGACCAGAGCTCTCTTGAGAAGCACTGTACGGCTTAGGAGAAGGACCGCACCAAGTACATCACTACCTTGCTGATGCTTCACAGGGATGGAACAGACTCAGAACAGAGCTCCCTTGAGAAGCACTATACAGCCCAGGAGAAGGACCGCACCAAGTACATTACTACCTTGCTGATGCTTCACAGGGATGGTACGGACTCGGACCAGAGCTCCCTTGAGAAGCACTATACAGCCCAGGAGAAGGACCGCACCAAGTACATTACTACCTTGCTGGTGCTTCACAGGGATGGTACAGACTCAGACCAGAGCTCCCTTGAGAAGCACTATACAGCCCAGGAGAAGGACCGCACCAAGTACATTACTACCTTGCTGATGCTTCACAGGGATGGTACAGACTCAGACCAGAGCTCCCTTGAGAAGCACTATACAGCCCAGGAGAAGGACCGCACCAAGTACATTACTACCTTGCTGGTGCTTCACAGGGATGGTACAGACTCAGACCAGAGCTCCCTTGAGAAGCACTATACAGCCCAGGAGAAGGACCGCACCAAGTACACATCGCTACCTTGCTGGTGCTTCACAGGGATGGAACAGACTCAGACCAGAGCTCCCTTGAGAAGCACTATACAGCCCAGGAGAAGGACCGCATCAAGTACATCACTACCTTGCTGGTGCTTCACAGGGATGGAACAGACTCGAAGTACTGCAAAGTAAGACTTTTTCATATTTGAAGAGAAAATGCTCTAACTGTACTTTAAAACGGTTGAGAGAGTAACAGCAAAAGATCTTTCTTGCCCGATTTTTATGCTCAGCACAATAAAACTAAGACAGAAAAAAAGTGGAAAATCTGTCAAAAGCAGGATTCATCACACTGAATGTTTTTGGGGATTTTTTGATCGGGTACGACCCGATCACCTTTTTGAAATGGTAATAATTATTCTTTGGGTTTTTTTTGCTGGACAATAATTCTTTACGGGTTTTCTCCTCCTACGTGAACTCGTTCGACCTTTACTTCCGGGTCTACTGGAAGGTCAAAGTTGGGTGAATTTAAATTACAGACAGAAGCCTCAAAATCAAAACGAACCACATCTTTTCCAAACAGTTCACGTGATGACGATAAAGCCTACATGTAGATGGAATTTGAACCCTGGTCCGAAGATGTAAAAGAAATTGTGATGTCATCATGACATCCCCTGGTATCAAATTACAAGCTTACTTTTAATTAGGCTATAACTTTATAATGGAACTTTTAATTAGGCTATACATGTAACTTTATAATGGAACAGTCTCATTAGCTGTTTCGGTGTACACACCGAAACAGCTCTTGTTTCTGTTATTTTTTTTTTTCTCTTTTATTTTTCAGACTTTTTTCTCATAGGATAACACGTGTTTTCGTTCTACAAGTCACTTTTGGCTTTTTTTCAAATCCGATCGACTTCAAACCTGGCACACACTTAGACCACCATCTGAAGATGTGCGCCGAAACTTTTCGTCATGCTGACGTCATCACGTGATTTATTATAGAATTTTGAATATTTAATTTTTCCCATAGACTTTGTACACAGAAATTTTAAAAAAAATGTCAATTTTCAGAGGGCATTTTCGACACTTTGCCAGTAATTCATTTACACCAATCTTTGTCCAAGCAATGACCCTAATTCAAACAACATTGTGTAATGATGACGTCATGATGACGTCATCCGGTGTTTATTTATAGGCAATTAAATTGTGACACTTTTAATATTTAAAAATGCATAAGAAATCAACCGTACGCGTCCGCAGCATTCTGTTGCCGGCAAGTGGTAGAGTAGGTTGAGGACTTTATTTCATTCAGTGTGCGTAAAATCACGTGGCCCTTGCTTCCGGTCGAAAAAGGCCAAAACCGAAAGTGGCTTATTATTTAAAAGTGGTAATAGATATGAACTTGCTTTTAACTGTGTTAGTCTCTTGGCTGATAGTATTCTTCAAATCATCTACCGATGACGTCATGCAATCTTCGAGCGCCCTCTAGCGACAGGTTGAACATTTTCAAAAATGTATTTTGAATAGATGTCTGTGGCGAAGTTTGTCGGAATCGCCTAAATAGTGGTGTATATGATGACCTTGACCCACTTAAGACGTGTGCGAAGTTTAAGGTGTATGACGTCATCAGACCGGAAGTTATAATGAAAAGACCCTTTTTCCTTAAAAGAAATCCTGAAAAATCAACCATGGCAGTTTTTATATTAATTTCTACTTTAATTGTCTATGTAAGGGTAGGTCTAAAATATTTCAAAGCTTCGAGGCAATAAGCAAACTCGGACATGCCCTGCGCACGCTTAAAACTTCAGGTTGACAATAACTCTGCTTTAAAACATGCACAGTCCACAATGTACATGTACATGTACATGCCCGTACGTTGTACATATCGTAGTCAGTCAGCCCGCGCGCAGCGCACGTGTTGCTGAGGTCAAATCCTGTCCACAGTGACCGTTTTAGCCGATTTCCGGCTAACTTTGACAGATTTTATGTTCATGCATTGTCAGGGACGTAGGATAGACACTTTTTGTATAGAATACGCATGTACATGTTCATTCGACCTGGATGAAACTCCTTTACGGCAGTCATTAATAAAACGGTCCAAACAGCTCAGTGTTTGTCCACAAACACATTTCTAGTTTTTTGTTGTTTCAGACATTGCTACTGGCAATATTTTGTTCCAGCATGTCCAGGGCACATACCATTTGACCTTTACTTCCAGTGTAACCGGAAGTACAATGATAATAAATTTAACTTGAAGACGGAAGCATTATGCTACAGTTATATAAATTATGCAAATATTTAGTGAGGAATGTCCAACACAAACATTGGCATGATGACATAATTACACGAAAGGCCGCGTACCAGTACATTCACGCAATGCGTCTCTCCAACTAGGGCTCTCAAAAGTTGTCAAAAAGGGACAATCTACTGTTTGTGCACGTAATCTTTGTAATCAGCCTAGATATACATGCACCTAAGGCATGTAGGGCCTAGTACTTTTCAATCATATTCTCAAAGGTGGCTTAAGTTCAAAACGTAAAATGCACTCAAATTTGATCAAATTGTCTACTCAGATTATTTATTTATTTATTTATTTCAACCGGATCCAACAGCGACCAAATCGCCAATTACATGTACAGTAGCACCAAAAATAATTGCAAACCAATAGTGTCACCAGAGTTACCCTTTACATCTTGCGCTTAACTTTCCAGGTTGTGGGTCTCTGGTCAGACCAAAGTTCTGGACTTGATGTAGTGATGCATTTAAAAAAAATATTCAATTTTCAACCAGTTACTTGTGAACTGACTGCAAAAAACATCACCAGTCACTCGGGATACATGGCCTACATGTACAGTATATAAGTGTTGTACATGTAGCTGAATCCAACACTATCACACATAAACGTGAATAAAACTGAATACAAGTTTTCGCAGTCACACATACCGGTACATGTATGGGAAGTCAAAATAAACCGTTTTTGTTAAATTTAAGTTGGATTTGAAAAGGCGTCTCTACAAATCCAAGGATTGGGGAAAAATTATATAAAATAAAAAGTAAGAACTAGTAAGAAGTTTTCGGCTACCAAAAAAAGGGGGGGGTGGAATCTGTAGGCCAATACATAAATTTTGATCCGTATTTGTGTCTTGACATCCTCGTGTAAGTTGTTAGTCTTTATGTTACAGTGCAGGCTCTAAAATTGGCATTAAAAAGTCGGTATATCAAGCAGAAATTGCAATGTGGCAGTGACCTACCGGTATCTCTTTTACAAATTTGTTCCCCTCGACTGGCTTTAGTAAGTCACATTGTGGCGCTGTTTTCAAGATGGCTGTGGAATGTGAAACTGACTTTCTAAGCATGTCAAGTGGACAACGTGTCTTTGGATTCTAAAATGGCACATTCCAGATGAAAGTGCACAATCATTAAAACAATACGTGCAGTAAGACCTGCACCTCAAAAAAAGTTTACCCATATTTGTTATAACCTATGAAATCGCATTGGTACTACTGAAAGTTTAATCCAATACGTCAATGCAAGTCAAGGATTTAAGGGTACATGTATTTTGCGAATTGAGTATTTTGAACTAAATGATTTTCTTGACACTAATAATTTGCAGATCAGATTGTACAGTTTGAAACATGCACATGTGCAACCTTTAACGACTGTAAGTCAAAAGTATTTGAATGAATTTTGCTATCCACACAAACTACACATTCTGCTGAAATAAGTTCGAATAAAAAGGCTTTATAGGCCTAGTTGTTTGCAAAACAAAATACATATCGCTTTCATTTATATTATTATTTGATTTTAATAATCGAAAGATATTTTGTGTACATGTACATGTAGATTGTCTGAGCAAAGTAACATACCTCGGCTAGATATGGATATTTACACAAAAACCGTGTCTAACTAAATTCATAACATACTGTAGTAGAAGACTAGAAGTGTTCATTTAATATTAAACATTTGATGTTTAATCCAATAAATTTTAATCCAATTAAAACACTGCCAATTAATTAACTGTGTGAAGTATAAATCGTCTGGTTATGTGTTTTCGTTCCGACTTTTCTTTGATTGGCCCTGAGGGACGTACTTCAGGGTCAGAAGCGCAAGTTGGTGTTGTAAGGGTTCGTTCTCACTGGATTCCTCGATTAAAGCTTCGTCTGCTTTGGCCCACCTGATGTACCGACAGTGTTTCATCTCTTCAAACAGTTCTCCGTCCTCCAAGTCCTGAAGGTTGGCGACATCGTCCATCTGCAGAGACTCCCGCCGGAACTTGCGGTAGCTTTGCATTTTCTGCACCTCATCTTGTAGCGTGTCGAAGGTGGTGGCATGCATGATCTGCGTGCTGACCCTGCGCATTTGACATCTCGGTGTTGAGCGTGATGTGGACGAGGCTGTCTGTTGCATGAGGGTGGACTGCCTTTCTATCTT